TTTCTCATACTTAAAGAACTAATCACTAAGGAAAGACACCAAAATGAAAAAAAATTACAAATCGAGTCTATCAGGGGTGGGGGAGGGGCATATGAGATGACATCCTTAGCTAAGGAGCTCCTCACAGTTTATGGCTGCTAGAAGGGAAAGTCAGTTTTCTTTAGGGGTGTGGCCTCTAGTAAACTGATCATGTTCCAGTGGATAGTCCCACACCCATGTGTATATGAGCAGCACTAACTAACTGTTTGTTCGAGGGCCTGTGTGTGTGTGTATGTGTGTGTGTGTAGTCAGATATTTTAGCAGGAAAATGGTATCAATTGTCTGTTTTAGAGCTGTTCCTGAAACAGTAGTATGATGGATGGAAGGGCAGGAGGGTGGTGAGGCAAGAGGTACCAAATGCGGAAACACGGGAGAGAGACTCAGAGCATTCCAGCCGAGAAGTGATAGAGGCCAAGTTCTGGCAGGTGGGACCTCATCTGCAGTGTTTAGGAATCTAACAAAAGTTGGTACAATCCACTGGAGAAAGTGCACTGAAAATGAAGGTGTGTCTCAGGTCTGAATCCATGACTAGAGAGGCTAATGGAGGAATCTGTATCATCACTAGCATAAGATTTGTCTCTTGACTCAAATGGTTTGTATTTGGCTAGTAGAATTATCCTTGTGTAATTTCATAACTTGACAGTCATAGTGGGAGTATGCCCTGTGTGTGTGTGTGTGTGTGTGTGTGTGTGCGTACATGAGTGCACTGAGCAAGCAGTACAGGACAACAGCAGTACTTGCGCAGCCTTTCTATGGGTCTAAGGTTATTCTTAAATGAAATATTAAAAGCTCTCAGTGACTCCATACCTGACAAACAATTAACAGCGTTCTCTACGATCTGGCTTCTACACCACTGGACCTTTTCCACACTTCCTTGACACTTTGTCCCAGATACACTGGACCCTTTGTGAGCCACACCACATGGCCTTCATACCTGTTCCTCAATGGAACACTTTCCATTTACCCGTCTGATGCTCTCGCTCATTTTACTATTTTATGCATACATATTTGCCTCCATGCATTTCTGCACTGCTAGTGTGCCGGATTCCCAGAAGAGGGCGCTGTGGAAGGGCAGTGCATACTCGTAACTGCTGACTACCCCTCTAGCCCTCATTTTCCTAATGTGTTTGCTTATTACGTTATCACAAAAGCCCTTCCTTTATATAAAGTGCTCCATCTCCAAACATGTTCTACTTCATGTTACGTCTCAGCAGTTATCTGACATAACGCCATTTTATTTATTACTGGCCACCACGTTAAATAAGCCCTTGAAAATGGGAGTTTTTCCATTTTGTTTGTATTCATATCCAATATCCAGAAGAGTAACTGTATGAAGTAGATACTCAAACAATGCAGGGAAGCCACACCCACATCCAGACACCCAAGTCGGTCTGCTCTCTCCTCTAGGTTCAGGTTTCCTGAAGAGAACCAATGACTTGCATTTCTCTTTCAGTGTAAGCAGGAAGACATTACGCCAGTGTCTGCCCATTCTATTTCAGAATTTGTTTTAACAAGTGCAAGACAGCAAGATCAAAGGGAACTACTCCAGCGCAGAGAAGAAAAAGGGATGGGACAGTAAAGGGACATCAGCTCCACCTACTCTGCAGAGAGCTTACTCTATGCCACTTTAACTGACTGATCCATAGATTCACCAGGTGCCGAGTAATTCAGTTACTACTGATGACGTTCTCACCCACAGTTAGTAAGGGTGAACTAAGTTCAGTTGAGAAGAAGCCTGCACAAAGCCTGTATTCATACTGCTTTAAAAGTAGAATTCACCCAAGAAAGGCCTCAGTTCTACAACTGCTTATCATGGATCCCAACAGTTACTTCAAAATGTTATATAGAAGATAGAGTACTTGGGAATTAAGTAGAACAATGCGGCACTAAGCCAACAGTCTCTAGGTTAGTGGCCTCTAACTTCAGCATGTATCACAATCACCTAGAAGACCCAATAAAACACAGGCTGCTGGCTCTCAAGCATGGAGATCTTGAGCAAACTGAGCATGTGCAGCTCGCTCACTAGGGGCTATGGTGCCGCTGCTCTGGGGTGTCTCTGCCACAGAGTGACTGCTGGGCTCACAAGGCTGATATCTGCTAAAGGTATTTAAAATAAGTCAATGCAGCCACAGCAAAGCAACAGAGCACTGGCCTAGCATTTCAACAATAAATAATAGGAGAAATAAAATGAAAACGATCCCAAACAACCACGCCGTGGCCAGGCTCTGCTGCACCTCACACACCCATCTCTTAAACAGACGACTGCTCTGAGCTGTGGACTTGGCCTGGGGAGCTGCGTGCTGCAGGTGGATTCACACACTTGGCTGTGGAGGGGACACTAGCATGAGGAGGTGTGGCTCTAGCTGGCTACTAAACAAGTAGCCTGTGAGCACTACTGATCACTGGGGAATTAGCCACCGCTTTCTGCAGTGGCTGTCAAAACACAAATACATACTGCACTAGCCAGACAGACCAGACTTTATATTAACCTCATGCAAAAGCTATAATGTGAGTGACAGTCAAAATATCCAAGTCAAAAATATTTAAGAATGGTCAAGAAAAAAATGTATTAAGAGTTATGCTTTTGGAATGACAGTGCACATAGGCTATGAGTTGGAAGGAGAGATACCAGAATTATGTCTGAGCAAAGATGAGGAAGAGATGAGAAGGAGAAGCTTAACCAAAACCAAATTAGTACAAAAATACCACTATTAAATTAAAAAATAAAGAAGTGTAAAAACGAAGTACATGTTACACAAGTTAAACATTAACATGGCAGCAATAAGCAAAACAAAAGGAGCAAGATGACATGATAGTTCCGTGTAAGATCATACTGTACAATATCCCCGCACACAGGATGATTAGAATCCATAGGAATTCAAGCTTTAACAGTGCTGAAAAGCAACCACTTTAACTTATGCACTCGTTCAGGGGATGGGAGGAGCCTTCGAAGTGGCATAGGCATGAGCCTCTGAAGGGAAACCCACACCAGGACGTTAGCTCACTTGAAGAATAAAAACGTTACAAATGTTTCTGTGTAGAAAATGTCTATTTTCTTAACTACAGAATTTCACATCATGACACAGCATTTAGGATGTCAATTCTTAAGTTAAAGTCTCCTGAACTTTGGCTAAAGATCAAACTCTAAGTATAACTTACTGCCCTGTTAAATGAGTAATAATGGCTTTTATTGCTGCCATTTTCTCTCTGGCTGTTTGGCCAGTGTTAAAGAAATATCACTCTGGGTTTTGGTGTAAGCTGGAATCACCAATGTGATGTGTACCAAATGTCCTGCAACTGGAAACTGATAAATATTTAGGTTTTTACAAACAGTATTAGCCCAGCTATCCTACTACAGCAGCCACTGAATATTCCAACATAGCTGAAGCACAAGAAAATGACATTAAAACCAATGCTAGGAAAATGACAGAGGTCCTTACAGAGGAAAAGGATAAGTCTGTTAAGGAAATATCAGAAAAACACAAATAAACAATGGGAGGAAATGAATAAATCCCCAAGAAAGCCAGGGAAAAAAAAACCAAACAAGTAAAGAATAAAATGATTCAAGATACACACTACCACCACCACCAACAACAACCATATAATAGGAATTAACAATCATTGGTCATTTATGTCTCACAATATCAATAGTCTCAATTACCCAATAAAAAGACAGGCTAACAGAATGGATGTGAAAACAGGACCCATCATTCTGTTGCATATAAGAAACACACCCAACATCAAAGATAGACATTATCTCAGGGTAAAGGGTTGGGAAAATGGTTTGCCAAACAGATGGAGCCAAGAAGCAAGCTGGTATAGCCACTTTAATATCTAACAGAATAGATTTTTCACCCTAAATTAATTGAAGGAAATAAGGACACTTGATGCCCATCAAAGGAAAACTCCATCAGGATGCCATCTACATTCTGAACATCTATAACCCCAAATAAAAAGGCACCCATATTTGTAAAGGAAACATTATTAAAGCTTAAATGACACCTTGAACCTCACACATTAATACTGGGGGACTTCAACACCCCACTGTCACCAATGGACAAGTCAGCTAGAAAAAAAAAACAAACAGAAATAATAGAGCTAACAGATATTATTACCCAAATGTACAGAACAGGTACCTCCAGAACCTTTCACCCAAACACACACACACAAAAAAATACCTTCTGTACAGCACCTCCAGAACTTACTCCAAAACTGACCACATACTCAGTTGTGTAGCTAGTCTCAACAAATTCAAGATTGAAATAACCCCCTGTATCCTAGCAGATGGCCATGGATTAAAGCTAGATTTCAACAACAGAAAGCCTATAAACTCATGAAAACTAAATAACTCTCTACTGAATGGCCACTGGGGCAAAGGAAGAAATAAAGAAATTAAAGACTTTCTAGAATTCAATGAATATGAATGTACAGAATTTACAGAACATTTCATATAATGGTAGAGTTAAAATCTCTTTGGGAAAAAAAAACAAAAACAAAAACCTAACATACAATAGTCTAGATAACCTGACTGTTAAAGTAATCATGAATTGTAGAACTGAAAGACTCCATTAACAGAGCACATCACCCTTTACCAACTGAAAAGCACACAGTGTCTGGTTAAAATACAACCCGCATTTATTTGTGTGCTTGTATACTTATGTTTCAGGACTGGGGAGTGCACTCTCACAAGCCCTGTAAGCACTTGACCTCTGAGTTATTTTCTGGACCTTTTTCATGCCGTTTTTTAAAGGTAGCCTCTCATTAAGATGCCCAGGCCTGGCCAAATAGAAGGAATTACTGGTCTGCTTTGCTAGACCCAACTTGAACACAATTACTAAGAGGAAGCCTGGCCTGTGGGATCTACTATCTGTGGGATAATAGAGAGAATCATTAAATCATCCACGGCTGAGCAGAAAGTCTGCACTAACCGCCGCAGACACTACTATGAGATAAGAGGTTACCTGACTGTTGGTTTCACTTATGGCTTCTAGGAGTTTTTCAACAGCTGCTTGTAGCCGAGAGCTGATGTTCAGCATAAGTTCTTCATTTTCAGGATCTATTACAGGCCCAGCAAAACCACTCCTCACAAGCCGCTGTGACAGCTCTGCTCCTTCCTCGGTGACTTTTGACCAAATGCTGTCGTGGGTTGCCATGGCAGTTCCAGGATAGGAGGGTATGGACTCATCCATAGCTAGAACAGTAGTAAGTTAGAGGCAGACATTAATCTTTTAAAGTTACAACATTAAGTAACTGACAATACCAAGTCAAACTAAAACTTGGATCATTACAATTTCAAGGTCTTTAAGAAACAACATAACAGAGTGAATATGCAAAGCAAGAGGATTAGATAGCAAGATAGACACAAAAGGGCAGTGCTGTGTAGAAACGAACACTTGGGTTACTCTGAATCTTTTCTTTGATGGGAAAATTATTTTTGGCTCAGGATATCAACTCTGTAGCTTTAGTATATACACCCTGTACTACACCACACTTACAGCCCAGAATAGCTATCTAAGCAAAGAGTGTCAAGTAGTGTCTGGAACGTGATGAGGACTCCTAAGTAACAAAATCTGGTTCCCAGTGTAATGAGGCAAACAGGTAAACAAGATCACAAAGATGAAGGGGAACTGGGGAGGTCAAGTGCTTGCTACAGAAACACATGAGCAACTGTCATACTCGGCTGGGGAAAGGACAGAGGAGTAGAGACAGGAGGACCTGGGGGCTTGCTGGACAGTCAGTCTAGTCAAAATGGTGATGCTACAGGTTCAATGAGAGACCTTGTCTCCAAGAGTAAGGCAGAGAGTGACTGAGGAAGACTGCCCATTTTGATTTCTGGTGCTAGAGAAGCGCACACCGTCCACCGCCATCGCCCCACACCCTATCTTATTATGCAGTGGAACACTCCAGGTGCGCTAGTACAGAAGAGAGCAGGAGTTTATATTTATCTAAGACCGGACCTTCTGACTCTTGAGCCTATTCAGAAGTGACTGATTTGATCTGGTGGCACACTGAAATGCACTAAGATAATTTCATTATGTGCCACGTTTGCAGTAGTATGATGGGAAAAAAGCATAGACTATTATTCACAGATATATTATTTTTTTATGTAAGGATCAGTAAGCTTACCAAGGCAAAAGATAAGCTTCATTTCCTATAAGGCAGTGGTTCTCAGCCTTCATAATGCTACAACCCTTTAACAGTTCCTCATGTTATAGTGACCCCCAACCATAGATGATTTTCATTGCTACTCCATAGCTGTAATTTTGCCACTGTTATTACTCATAACAGTGAATATATGATAAATATAAATAAAACAGTGTAAATATATGATATGCAGAATACTTGATACAGGACCCCTGTGAAAGGGTCCTCCAAAAGGAGTCACGACCCACAGGTTAAGGACCACTACTCTAAAGTCTTGCTGTTCTAAAGGCGAGGCATGAGTACTTATCACTGACACCTAATATCACACTCACTCAGGACACCATGCTAGAGCCATAAAATCAGATGTAGCTTTTCTTACCATTTTTCACTAATCACCTCTACTGAACAAGATCATTGCTGGCAGAATATGAAAGTATGTTCTAGGGCACAATTTTAAACATCTGCAGTTTTTGTTAAATGATTGTATATATATGACTGCTTGCATTGTATATATGTGTACCATGTGTGTGCCTATACAAAGATGAGCACTGGAGTAGATGCTTGGAACCAAAACTGGGTCCTCTGCAGGAACAGCAGGAGCTCTAACAGCCAAACCATCTCTCCAGGCCTCAAATATTTGCTCTTAGACATAACTTTATATAATTCTAATCATTGGCATAGCAGCTAATATAAATTTAATATGCATTTTATTCTCCACATTAAAAAAGCACTACTAGTACTGTTTTATCTTTATATTACACTGTGTATTTAAAACCAAATACCATGACAGTGGGACAGTGGGACAAATACTTGAAAAGTTCAAGATGATCTTGGGATTCAAAAATGGTATATAAAGTATGCCAAATGGTACAGTACAATGCATACTATAGCATTGGCTAAATCAAATGAAGCAGTCTAGGAAATAGATGATAATTTTGCAGATGCTATGGGAGCAAGGGCTTAGGAAACAAAAATACTCTCTGTGATATCTTTATCTGAGGAACTGAATGCATTCTAGTGACATTTTTTTTCCATGGGTTTGAAGAATATGATAAATCTGAGATAAAGAGAACAGTCTGATATGGTAGAAACACTAACAAAAATGTATGGAGAAATATGGGTGAAGCAGTGCAACATTTAAAAGAAGGTAACTGGAAGGTATGCTGGATATAAGTTGTTAACTGTCCTAGATTTTGTTGAAACTTTGGAGGTTTTGATAAAGATTGGAAAAGGTTAATCATATTTTAAATAGAAAGATAATAGCAAATCTATGTACCAGAAGCAAATTTTAAGAATACATAAAAATGAATAGGCTGGTTAAAAGTCTATTTCAATTACCCAGTGAGGCATGATGAACTATGATATAGAAAGGACAAAGACACAAAAGATGAGGGGAAAGGACACAAGATGGACACAACTAAACACAAAGGCAAAAGGGCAAGGCAGGCAGAGAATTGCGCACACGTCTGGGCTTCAGGTGATTCTGACTGAGAGTCATTGTGAAGAAACATATGACCAGATCAGGACGAGTCTATGCTGTGGGCACGGAAATTACTCAAGAATAAACAGGAGGTGTACACCCACAGATAATGTCTAAGTCTGGGACTGTAACTTTTAAGTCTTTTATGTCTTTTATTAATGTGAGAGTTGAAATACTTGAAGTGTATACATTTGGTGTAAAGACAGCATTTACTGAGAAGGAAAAGGAGTCTCATAAATCATAAGCTAACAAAAAAATCCATTTTAAAAAGTCATAAACAGAGCATTTTAAAAGGATAAACTTCAGTTTTTCCATGAGCCAGCACTGAGAGGAGAGTTATGGGTGTAACAGCTTACGGTTCTCTGAGGACAGTAATGTTACTGTGGGAGCAGAACTAAGGTTGGTAAGAACACCTGAATTAGTCAGTGCTCTCCCAGTGTGCTGATGCTTATGCTGGAGGGCAAAGCTGAGAACAACGAACACTTAAACAATATGAAGACTGCAGCATGACTTGTGTACAGGAGCAACAGATGAGAAAAAGACTGAAGATACTGCACACATGTGGGAGCAAAGCCCAAGCACCAAGTACAGAGGACGTGTAAAACAAAACACAATGCAGCAGTCATGGGACACCAGTGCTTCTGGAACAGCTAACTCAAAAACAGCCTACACCTATTAGCTTTTGTTTCATGGTTTGATTTTAGGTTTTAGGTAGGGTCTCCTCTGTATAATAGTCCAGGTATAGGAGAGACCTTGCCTAAAGGTCTGGCCTACATACTACGTTCAAGGCTAGTCTGGTACGAAAAGCATAACCATCTCCAAATAAACAAACAAGGAAGGAAGGAGGTGAGTGTATGAGTTATTGAATGTCTTCAATGCCAGGATGAATCTGGAAAGAACCAGTACCTTCTCAGTATCATTGGCTCCTACCGATCTATAGCACAGCACTGTACCAGAGGTAGCTGTGGAAGACAGACATTCATCCCTGGCCTCTCAGATGAGGGGACCATCCTCTAAGACATCTCAAGGAAACTTACAACACAGCCCTGGGAACCATTTTGTCAGGTGACAGACCACTTTCAGACTCAAGTGAGTCCACAACAGCTTAGCCCTAGCTTTCAGCTTCATAACAAGATTATTCTCACAAGGAAGCAAGTACTAATAAGTCAATTATTTATTTTTTCAAGTGTTAGCAAGTTCATACCTGTTTAAAATCTAAACAAGTTCAGACTTGAAGACTGAAAATAGGACACATGTGTGGCTACAAGAAAAAAAGCCATATATAAAACCGAAGAGTAAAAGTCACTCTGTAATCAGATCAAAACTTAATTATTGTTATATGAGACATTAATGCTTTCATATAGAAATATGAGAAAATTCCAGGGTAAATTCTAACATACAGAGCACATTACTAATACTGTAAAGCAAGTAAGTAATTGGGGTTTATGACAAATTCAACATTTTAAAATCATAAATTGTTTTAATTCAATATATACTTGAAAACAAAAACTGGATCTGTGAGAGTTCCTTAGTGATACTAATGGCCACATGAAATTATTAGCAAGACCAACCACACTGCTGAAAACATAAAATGTTAGCTGGAGAGCACCCACACAGTGATGGGAATGCTAGCACAGTCATCTCTGAAATGACACTGTACTTGTCTGTGGACTTGACTTTCCCTGGAGACAAGTTAAATAATATTCTGAGGACTTATGTAAGACATATGTAAAACGTTTTAAAGCAAAATATCAGTTATGTTTCCATCTTGCCTTGTGGGAATTTTGGTGCTTCCTGTTAGTCGTAAGCTGAATTACCACAGAGTAGGAGCAGGGCAGACCATGTTCCGTAAGTCTCTGATGCTCGGGATGTGCTATAGAACTCAGCTGGGACACTTGTCAATAAGAAAGCACTGTTAGGTTATTTTAATGGACATAGACACACTTCTCCTACACTGACAATTTTCAATGTAATTTAAAAGAGAAGACTCTTATGGATCAGATGTCCTTTCAGGTCTGTCTTCTCTAAGTCAATAAACACAGCACAGTCTTCTGTGCTGAGTGAAACTGCCATTTCTCTTTGTAACTTTCAGCACACTGCTTGGGAAGTGAGCTTGCTGCTGCCTGCTGAGTACTGCAGTATCTATGGCAACTGCTGACCTGAGCAGGTCTGTAGTTTACAGGCCGTCTCCTCAGGGTGTTTCTGACTGTAGAAGTCAACATGGAATCAGCTTTACTAGAAGAACAGTAAAACTCCTCCCTAGATGGTTAAGTAAAAGCAGCCCATTGTTTTGATTTCTGTTTGATTAAATGTTTTCACATGTTTTACGTATGACCTTGTTCTCCACACATCGGGATCCACACCTAGTAAACACCCTTTGTCTAGGGCTTGTGCAGGAGGAAAGCTGGTCTAAAAAGTCAATCAACCAAGAAAGCTTGAAAATCGTTATTATTTCAGTTCTCATTTTATTAAAGCATTTTAGAGATTATCTTTAGACTCAACTGAAGTGTTTTTAAGTTAATTTTATTTAAAATTTTAAATCAAGCTTTCCTCTGAGGTAAGAAACACACTGCTAGTCAACCTGCAATTAAGCAAACCGTCTATAATTGGCTATTTTCTTCTCGTTTCTCCACAGGAAGCTCAGCAAGCTGAATGTTCTCCAAAGTTACAAAGCAGCACTTTGGGGGACGTGCCTCTCGTAGGGAGAGGGCTCAGTGAAGATGGAAACAAACTAGATTTAACCTTCTATTTCAAGATTTCAGACTCCACCAGCAAGATGACGGCACAAAGCCAAGAGAAGCAGTGAAGGAAAGTCAAAACTTGGTCCCAAATGCAGACAAGGCACATTCTGCTATACTTCACACTTTTCAAAAAGCAGGAAGGACCTATCAGAGGATAGCCCAAAGATAAAACAAACATAGGTTTTACAGAGACTTGTTTTATCCTTTCCAAGTGGTGCTACAGTCTTAAAATCTCGTCATTTTAACCTTTTTTTAGTTTACACGTGGATGTGAGTCCTGAGCAGTGACTCAGAATTATTCTTTATCAGAAGACAAGGAAAACAGGCAGCATAGTAACCCTGGGTACATATGATGACAGCCCTGAGGCAGCCATTTGCAAATGCTGTACAATAATGGTGGTTGAGAGAAGCAGCTTTAAAGTCTTTGTGTGTGACAATCCATTAATATGTGTGACACTGTGTATGGCAGTCCAAAAAAGTTCAGTATTCTCCTTTATGTACATTTCTATATCCTGGGAGTGCCCTGAACTGAGCCTATGTTGAAGATGTAGATTATTTCAATAGCAGACAGAACCATTACCTCTTGCACACTCTTCTTGTACACAAGTTGTGGTGGATGCCTCTGCTTCTGATCTCCAAAGCAGGCTGGTAGCTGGCTGACCTTTACTAGATCGGTCCAGAATCCCAAGAACATGGCACCCAATTGTTTCTTCAGCAGCTGATGTTGTCTTCACAACGTCTAACAAGATCTTCAGAAGTCTATTATTGGCTTTTTTAAGAGCGTACCTGTACAGAAAAAGAATCATTTATTAAAATGTTTAATTAAAAAATAAACAAAACACACTGCTCTTATGTCAGTCTGCTTTATAGTAAGAAGCAGGTGGTAGTGATGCACTGTTAATCCCAGCACTCAGGAGGCAGAGGCAGGCAGGGGCAGGCAAAGATTAGCCAGCATGGTCTACAGCGCGAGTTCCGGAACAGCCAAAGCTACACAGAGAACCCCGTCTCAAAAAACCAAAACAGAGAAGAGGAGGAAGAAGAGGAAGAAGAAGAGGAGGAGGAAGAAGAGAAAGAGGAGAAAGAGAAGGAAGGGAAGGAGAAGGGGAAGAGAAGAAAGAAAAAGAATGCTTTATAACTGGAAAATATTTAATCCTATTAAAATAATCTATCATACCACAATGAAGTGCTTCTAGTTTTTACTTATTTTAAAACTTATATTATAAAAGTATCTGTGTTCTTCTGCCAGCCCTATATAGCTTACAATTTTCATTGTAAGCATGCATTTTATTGACCCAAAAGAAATCAAGTCACTAAGGTTCTCAGTTAATGATTAAATTTTTTAAAAAAAAAGTTAGAGTGTGGTGAGATGCAAGCATATGTAAAGTACTGAACTGCTAATACTTTCTACAGCTACTCATACAGGTATGCTGTATTTCATCCTTAAATGTGTCAAACAACATACTTTAAAGTAAGATTCTAAAAGCCCACAGTGAAAATGTGGCACTAATTTTACAACTTCTAACAACAAATACAATGCCAAAATCTAAACAGGTCAAATAGGCATAGTTCTGTTCTAAAAGACCAACAGTAACATTTCAGCCTGATACCACCAAAGCAAGTGTCACAGGCCTTTACAATTGTTTATTTACTTTAGAGACAAAACTGGATCTAGTTTCACACATCACACTCATTTCGGCCAAATGAAGAGAGAAAATTTTTCAATGAAATAGAAATAAACTATATCTTTCTTTTTAAAACGATAAAAGAGTCTTTAATCTATTTAGTCACTTGATCACTTATTTATTTACTTTAAATGAGGTGATGGGTTAACTCTTCTCTGAAATATCTTAGCATTCAGACATAATCATTAGAATTAAGATAAATTTATATATCCATTTTTATTTATGGGCATAGATATGTGCCTGTGTGAGTTTCTGTGTGGCATATATGTGCAGGAGGTCTCCCGAAGATGACATTGGATCCCTTGGGACAACAGGTACAGGCTGCTGTGAGCTTCTAATGGTGGGTTCTGAGAACTGAGCCCAGGTCCTCTGCAACAGTATTCGGTACTCTTAACCACGGCATCATCTCTGCAGTCCCAAACATTAAAATGGCCATTGTCTAGATTTCCTGTTATCCTCTATCTTACTCGTAAAATACATATTTTTTAAATGAGAAAAAAAAAATAAGGATTGTCCTGGATCAAGTGTTTTCATAAAGTTTATTTTTATTGTAACATGAGCCCTTTAAAACGGTGTCAAAAATGTACCTTCATAAATGGTGATTGAAAGATAATCTCATGAACCCTAATTGCTTAATTCATCAGAAGTAGTGGATCAGCAAACTTTATACTTAATAAATACAGACACAAAGGACAGACTTCTGTGGTGGAGGTTCCTTGGCTGAAGAGAGCTTTATCTCAACTTTACACTGGAGGAGAGTATTACTAAAACCCAAGCTGACAGCTGTCTGCTTCTCAGGCACATGATCTACCTATTTTAAGATGAGGTAATAAATGGTGTTGTTTTCCTTTAGTAGTTGTCAAGCAAAAGACAGGCTTCTATTTTTGTATCTAGATCAAGATATCTACTTACATAATTAAGACTATTAAAAATAAGACCAAATGGCAGAAGTAAAAGGTTTTACTTTCTTAACTTATACTTAAAATTTGTTCAAGTGTAAAACCCCATGACTAAAAGAATATTAAATAACTTTTACTTTAAAAAACTGATTAAACTCATATAATGGTTTAAAACAAAGATGAATACTCATTTTATCAACCTCATCATAAAAATATTCTAAAAACTAAATACATGATTTATAAAATATAACAAATATTGAAAATTTTATTTTATAAAGTTCATTTTATATAAACAAACAAATGAACCAGTTTATTTTATACTGCCATGATAAGTCTAATTTTCATACACTGCCTTTCTTGTTTGAGTTCCATACTGACTGTGTTTCATATTGACGATCCACTAGATAAGCCAAAATCTTACGAGCCAAATTCCTTCATGCAAGCTAAGGAAGGAGATTAGGAGGACACAGAGGGTGACAGTCACAGAAATTGTTAGTACATACTAGTTCTAATTTTAAATTAAAGAAATGATGTTCATTTGAACAAAATAAAATTTAAAACACTGTGCCTTTCTAAACAGCCTTTAAGTTAACATAGGCTATCTATTCTCATAGTGCTAAACATTTTCATATCAATCTCTGTGATATCAAAGTAAGGAATAGTATTGTTGCCATTGGGTATTTTATTTACTCCTCCATAAAACTTGAATGTGGATTAAAGGTTCTTATACGTTATACAGCTAATGCAAAAACAAACTAAATGTGAAATATTTATCACATCATTTTCTCGAAATACCTAATACTAAATGAATGTCTTAAAGTTAATGAAAAAATAAGACATAAGACATAAAACTCACTAATAGAAATGATTTTAGAATGCAAAATAGCATTATGAAAAATAAAGTTAATTAAGAAAAGTCCAATATTCAACAACTAAAGAGAGTCAAGATCAACATCTAATAAAAACTGAAGAGCATGCAAAAGATTTTTAAAAATTAGTCTAAGTAATGATAAAAAAAATTGTCAATCCTTCAATACTATTACCTATATGGTCAGATTTCATACATAGTAATACTTTTAAGACAAAGTACAAAAGTACAAGATAAATCTCTGACATCATTACAGAACTGAAAGCAGCATTTTAACCCTGTGCTGAGCAAGTACACACTTTATACCTTTCATTGGACAGGTTTATATCAAGAGATACGTCTTCAGGTTTTCTCTCCAATGTCTTGTCTTTTAATGTCTGTTCCTCAACTTCTTGGTTGTCATTTCCATCCTGTGTAAGTTGGTGCAAAGGCAGAGAGGACAAGACAAAGAGAAAACCCGTCATCTTAGAAACGGCAAGGCACACTTCTATAGTGGTATGAGATGAAACAGAAACCTTTGAGCATGATGTAGACACTGCTTGAAATAATGTTTAACTCCGTGTTATCAAGAGACTAGCATTATCAAGAAAAGATAAAACATTCTGATGCACAGATGAAAAACATGGACTGGGTTCAAAGGAATGCATGCTGTCTACTGTGACAGTGAAATCTGTTAGGCTGCTGCATGGTGGAGCAACAGTTGCTGTTACCCCACCAGATCACATGACCAGCAGAATGCATGGCATTCCTACTCCACCTGCCTTCCATGGGAGCAATCACAAACACAGGACGCTCAGCCCTAAGAAACGCTATCACACACTGACAAAGAAGACAAACAAATCCTACTGCGCTGTCGAGCCATGCGCCTGGGTGAGCCAAAGTCCACACTACCTGTGTTTGCACACTGCTGTCACGCAGCTCACAACACAGCTCCTTTCTTCCAGCTAGAGACAGCTGCTTTAGTGCTTCCAGCTCCTCTAACAGAACCCTTTCTCTCTCTGAAACCACGTGCTCAGTATCTATGGAGGATTTCTAAAGAAGAAAAAAGGTCATGAGAGAATATTGTTGGCGATAGGAGAAGAAAACAGAAACATTCGGCAGATTTCTTTTAACCCCTGGAGACCACAGGCCATTTTCAAACTGTGATTCAGATTCCATTACAAGGGGTTAAAAGGCATATATAAAATTCAATGCAAAATTTGAAACTTTAGAAAAAAGTTAATTAAATGTATAAAATTCAGGGATTTGTACAATTTAATTAATACTCTTATGTCAAATTTGCATTGAAAATTCAGAAGTCTGAATTCACAAAATACAATGAAGAAAAGCAAAACTGAATTCTCCAATAATCCCTAATTTATGCTCCAACCCCAAATTTCCATTATTTTATATCTGAAGGAATCCAAGTCAAGAAGTCTCTATTTTTCCTTTTAGTTTTCCAAATTAAATTTAGAGTTTTCAGATGAGCTTTTCTGCAATGATTTTGCAAGTATATTTTATATAGCAACTAGTAAGAATATAGCTCCCAAATACCAAAGAAAATGTAAATTTAGTTGGGAAAGGGTTAAGAATGTTATATAAATTTGCATTTCTCAAATCAATGAAAAGAATCGTGCCACCCAGGATTTCCAACTGTGATTCACAAGGTGATTAAAGACAGTGGGAGTAAACCTGTGAGCTGCTAGCTGGTAGACTCAGGGGTGAGCCTGCCTATGGACTGAGAGAACGAGGCCTGCAGGCACCGCAGCACAGGCGGTCCCCGCTGACTCACAGCATCCTCAGCTACTGTGTGTCAGTGCAATGATTCCCATTTTACTCTCCAATCCAGAAGGGAAACTGCATACATGACGTCATGGCGATGAACACTATGAATCTGGATCGGGTTTGCCCTCAGGTTCTAAAACTGCAGACGGTGTGTCTCTAATGGTAATATCTGTAGCCATTTTCAGATCCGGCAAAATAAATTTTAAGTTTTAAAAAAGGTTACAAAGTTACACAAAGAATACTGTTATTTTAGATGGGGGAGAAGGGCTGGTGCCGACCTGAGTTAACTGCTCACTGAGCCTCCTGATCTCCTCCTGCAGCTGCTCCTGGTCTTCCCGTTGCCTCTCCATCTGTTGCATGTGGGCCTGCCTCAACATTTCTGTTGCCTGCTGATGTTCTTCATATTGTCGTACAAGTTCTTGACGCATATCTTCCAACTGCTCATTTAAGATGAGCTGTCTAGAAGTGTCCATATTTGACACCAACACCTCATCATGGATCTTTATCAGTAAAAAAAAAAAAAGTTTGACCACACATGAATTGTGAAAATTTGCCTCTACTGATATTTTCATAGAATAGGAAAGCAATTCTATCACACCCACAGGGCTCCAAATTTTTTTCATTATTAAATAAAGCCTATCCGTTTCCATCTATTAAAGATAGCTAACTGTTGAGGAAATAATTCTATTTGTGAGTATGCAAAGAAAAAGAGAATTAGGACCTAGAGAGTAAAATGCATTAAATTATTGTTTTAAATAAGTGGTGATTCGCCATATGTTCTTGTATTTAACTGAACGAATCTTTCAGTCATAGACTTTGCTAAATCACAGGATAATCTTTAACTGAAACAAACTTAAGACAGTTGTAACTTACAGGATTTTATTGATTAAACATCCAATACAATGCTTTTGTTACATCCTTATTTAATTAATTAATGTTTCTATGTGGGTATACACATGACTCTGTCTCTCTGTCTCTCTGTCTCTGTCTCTCTGTCTCTCTCTCTCTCTGTCTCTGTGTGTGTGTGTGTGTGTGTGTGTCTGTGTGTGTGTCAGAGGACAACTAGAGGAAGTCAGATCTCTCCATCCATCACTTGAGTCTTGGACTGAGCTCTGGGTGTCAGACGTTGGGACAGGAGTCTGACCCACTGAGCCATCTCACTGGTACGTACAATGTCTATAAGGCAAACAGACTTTGTTTTCTTTAATTAGCATTACTGTCATTTAACTATGTGCTTTATCATTAATAAACTACAACGTGCGGCATATGTAAATGAGCTGACCCGACACTGTCTTCTTTCTTAAGCAACACTTTTGATGATATATTCATAGTGAAGAAACCATTTTTTGTTTTTACAAATTTTTTGCTTTTTAAAAAAATACCCCAGGAGTCATACTTACAGATTTTCTCACTATAAATGTTTCGTCTTTGGAAAATATTTCTTCTGAAATAGTCAGTCCATGCTCTTCTGACTTCAGCACATCATCAAGATCAGCTTGATTAGACAGAGGAGCTGCTTTACTGTATTCTCCTAACTCTTTGCTAAGCGGTTTAAATTCTTCTTTAAAATTCTTGTCCGTTGCCTCAAGAGTCTGAAGACCAACTTGACATTGTGCTGTGATGTCATTTTGAGAATACAGAGCGTGTGCTTGTTCTGACTGTATAGCGTTTTCTTTCCCCTCAGATAGTCTAGAGAGTTCAGTCTGTTGAGCAAATGCTATACTCATCGATACGATGACCTAAATAAATAAAACAAACAAACAATTCTTAAGCAGCAGCTGGAATTGAACAAGGAAATTAATACTTAAGACTATATACATCTTAAAAAGCCTGTTGTCAACCCATACCCAACACTGCTTGGGTAACTAAGAACCTGAGACTACATAACCTAGGGACTTGGGTAAAACCAAATACTACTGTTCTAAAAACAACAACAACAATAACAACAAACCAACAGCAAAAATATACCCATGACCTGCAGCAATAAAATGACCCCTAGACATTGTGCTACACTCATAATCAGTGCCCTGACAGCCATCACCAGAGAAGCTTCCTCCTTCAGCAAGTGGGAACAAATACAGAGACCCCCAGGATGATCATACACAAAGAATGAGAAACTTTGGAACACTCAGCCCTAAATGGGGTGTCTCCATCAAATCCCTCCCCTAAGGAGACAGCTATACCAGGCTCCTGTCAGTATGCACTTCTTGGCATCCACAATACTGTCTGGGCTTGGTGTCTGTATATGAGATGGATCCCCATGTAGGACAGTCTTTGGATGGCCTTTCCTTCAGCCTCTGCTCCATACTTTGTCTCCATATTTCCTCCCATGAATATTTTATTCCCCTTTCTAAGAAGGACCAAAGCACCCACATTTTGGTCTTCCTTCTTCTTGAGCTTCATGAGGACTGTGAATTTTATCTTGGGTATTCCAAGCTTTTGTGCTAATATCTACTTATCAGTAAATACATACCATGTGTGTTCTTTTGTGTCTGGGTTACCTCACTCAGGATGATATTTTCTAGTTCCATCTATTTGCCTAAGAATTTCATGAATTCATCGTTTTTAATAGCTGAGTAATACTCCATTGTGTAAATGTACCACATTTTCTGTATCCATTCCTCTGTTGAAGAGCATCTGGGTTCTTATTAGCTTCTGGCTATTATAAATAAGGCTGCTATGAACATAATAGAGTATGTGTCCTTGTTATATGTTGGAGAATCTTTTGGTATGCCCAGGAGTAGTATAGCTGAGTCCCCAGGTAATACTATGTCTAATTTTCTGAGGAACTGCCAGACTGATTACCAGAGTGGTTGTACCAGCTTGCAATCCCACCAGCAATTGAGGAGAGTTCCTCTTTCTCCACATCCTCACCAGCATCTGCTATCACCTGAGTTTTTGATCTAACTGGTGTGACAGAAGCTTGATATAGCTGTCTCCTGAGAGGCTCTGTCAAAGCCTGACAAATACAGAGGTGGATGTGCACAGCCAACCATTGGACTGAGCACGAGGACCCCAATGGGGTCCTTAATGGAGGAGTTAGCAAAGGACTGAAGGAGCTGAAGGGGTTTGCAACCCCATAGGAACAACAATAATATCAACCAACCAGACCCCCCCAGAGCTCCCAGAGACTAAACAACCAACTATATGGAAGGACCCATGGCTCCAGCCACATATGTAGCAGAGGATGGCCTTGTCAGACATCAATGGGAGGAGAGGCTCTTGGTCCTGTGAAGGTTCGATGGCCCAGTGAAGGTAAATTTGAGGGCAGGGAGGCAGAAATGGGTGGGTGGGTGGGGGAACACCCTCATAAAAGTAGGGGTAGGGGGATGGCACAGGGAGTTTCTGGGGGGGGGGGTATAACCAGGAAAGGGGGTAACATTTGAAATGTAAATAAAGAAAATATCAAATAAAAAAAAGGAAAAAAAATCCCTCCCCACAGAGGTCAAGGCACTCTGCCAGAGAGGGCAGGAAGAGGTAGATCTATTCCCAGTTTTCAGAGAAACCATCAGACTTATTTTCAAAGTGGTTATATAAGTTTGCACTCCCACCAGCAGTGGAGAACTTTTCCCCTTGCTACACATTCTTGCCAGCTTATGCTATCTCTTGAGTTTTTTATGTTAGCCATTCTGATGGGTGTAAGATGGAACCTCAGAGTTGTTTTGATTTGCATTTCTCTGATAACTAAAGACTCTTAATGTATCTTTAAGTGCATCTTGGCCATTAGAGATTCCTCTGTTGAGAACTGTTTAGATCTGTTTAGAACTGTTTAACCCATTTTTTATTGGGTTCTTTGTAAATTTTATATATTAACTCTCTGTCAGGTACAGGGTTGGTGAAGATCCTCTCCAAGTCTGTGAGCTGACAAACTGTCCTATTGATAGTGTCCTTTGCCTTACACCAAAGCGTCGTAGTTTCATGAGGTCCCACTGTTCAGTTGTTGGCCTTAGAGCCTGAGCCATTGATGTTCTATTTAGGAACTTGTCTCCTGTTCCAATACATTCAAGGTTATTTCCCATTTTCTCTTCTGTGAGATTTAAAGTATTCAGTATTATGTTGAGGTCCTTAATCCTCTTGGACATGAGTTTTGTACAGGGTGATAAGTATGGATCTATTTTCATTCTTCTACATGTAGACATCCAGTTAGTGTAACACCATTTGTTAAAGATGTTTTCATTTCTCCATTGTATGGTTTTGGCTCCATTGTCAAAAATCACCTGTTCATAGGTATGTGGGTATATTGTTGTGTCTTCAATTTGATTCCATTGATCAACCAGTCTGTTTCTATGCCAATCCATGCAGTTTTTTTTTTTATCACTATTGCTCTGTAGTACAGCTTGGTTAGGGAAGGTGATTCAACCCAAAGTTTTTTTATTGTTCAAGATTGTTCTGGCTATCCTGTGGGGTTTTTTTTTTGTTTGTTTTGTTTTGTTTTTCTATATGAAGTCACGAATTGCTCTTTCAAGGTCTATAAAAAGTATTGAAATTCTGATGGGGATTGCATTGAATCTGTAGACTGTTTTTGGTAAGATGAACATTTTCACTATGTTAATCTACTGCTTCATGAACATGGGAGATCTTTCCATCTTCTGATATCTTCTATAATTTCTTTCTTCAGGGATTTAAGTTCTTGTCATACAGATCTTTCACTTGCTTGGTCAGAGTTATATTATTTGTGGCTATTGGAAAGGTGTTGTTTCCCTAATTTCTTTCTCTATCCGTTTATCATTTTTATAAAGGAGGGCTGCTGATTTGAGTTAATTTTGTATCCAGACACTTTGCTGAAGGTGGTTATCAGCTGTAGAAGTTCTCTGGTAGAATATTTGGGGTTGATTATGTATATTATCATATCATCTGCATATAGCAATACTCTGACTTCTTCCTTTCCATCTGATATCCTTTAATTGTCTTACTGCTTTGGGTTGAAGTTCAAGTAATATACTGAATGGATAGGGAGAGCATGGGTATCATTGTCTTGTTCCTGATTTTAGTAGAAGTGCTATAAGCTTCTCTCCATTTAATTTGATGTTGGATATTGCTTTGCTGTACATTGCACTGATTATGCTTAGGTATGTTCCCTGTATCCCTGATTTTTCTAATACTTTTAACATCAAGGGGTGTTGGATTTTATCAAAGGCCTTTTCAGCATCTAATGAGATAATCATGTGATTTTTTTTCTTTCGGTTTGTATGGCAGATTACTTTGACAGATTTTCATACATTGAACCATTCTTGCAATCCTGAGGTGTGCCTACGTGATCTTGATGGATGATGTCTTTGATGTGTTCCTGGATTTGGTTTGAGTGTATTTGATTTAAGAGTATTTTTAACTCAATGTTCATAAACAAAACTGGACTGAAGTTCTCTTTGTTGCCTCTTTGTGTGGTTTATGAGCAAGGAGACTGTGGTCTCATAGAATGAGTTTGGCAGTGTTCCTTCTGTGTCTATCTTATGCAACAGTTTAAGGAATATTGGAATTAGTTCTTCTTTGAAACTCTGGTAGAATTCTGCACCCAAACCACCTGGCCCTGGATGTTTTTGATTAGGAGACATTCAATGACTGCTTCTATTTCTTCAGGAGTTATGAATCTATTTAAATAGTTTACCTGATCTTGATTTAACTTTGGTATCTGTCTAGAAAATCCTCCATTTTGTTAAGATTTTCCAATTTTGTGAAGTACAAGTTTTTGGAATAAGACCTAATGATCCTTTGAATGTCTCCAGTGTTGGTTGTTGTCTCCCTTTTCAATTCTAATTCTGATTATTTGGATACTGTCTCTCTGTCTTTTGGTTAATTTGGGGTTTGTGTATCTTGTTGATTTTCTCAAAGAACCAGCTCTTGGTTTCACTGACTCTTTGTAATGTTTTCTTTAAGTCTGATTGATTTTATCTCTGATTTTGATTATTCCCTGTCCTCTACTCCTATTTGGTGTGCTTGTTTCTTTTATTCTAAAGCTTTCAGGTGTACTCTTAAATTTCTGGTATAAGAAATTTCTAATTTCTTTAAGGAGGCACTTAGTGCTATGAACTTTCCTCTTAGGACTGCTTTCACTGTACCCCATAAATTTGAGTTTGTTACCACTCCTGGGCATATACCCAAAAGATGCTTCAACAACTCACAAAGATAGTTGCTCAACTATGTTCATAGCAGCTTTATTAGTAATAGCTAGAAACTGGAAACAACCTACCCCTCAACTGAAGAATGGATAAAGGGAATGTGGTACATCTACACAATGGAACACTATTCAGCTGTTAAAAACAAAGACATCATGAAGTTTGCAGGCAAATGGAGGGAACTTGAGATTATCATCCTGAGTGAGGGAACCCAGTCACTAAAGGACATGCATGGTATGTACTCACTTGTAAGTGGATATAAGCCATAAAATATAGGTACCATGTTACACTCCATAGACCCAAAGAAGCTAAACAAGAAGGAAGGCCCAAGAAAGGAAGCTTGAATCTCATTTAGAAAAGGAAATAAAATAGTCCTAAGAGGCAGATGGAAGGAGGAAACTGGGAGGGAGGAGTATAGGGAGGGGGATATGGGGGTTCAGGATCAGGTGTGGGGAGGGACAGGAGAGATGGCTGGATGGCCATGAGAATGAATGGAAATCTGCAACTGATGGGTGGGGGATGGGAGGCATCTCTAGGACAAGACAGAGACCTAGAATAAGGAAGGCCACCAAGAATCAAGGAGGATGACCATAGCTGTGACTCACAACATTGGGGATATAGAACCTGGAGAGGCCACCTCCTATAGCCAGGTATGAACCCCAGTGGAGCAACAGAGACACCACACGACCCACAAAACTTTCAACCCAAAATTTATTCTGTCTACAAGAAACATGGGCATGGGAGATGGAGCAGAGACTGAGGAAATGACCAACAAATAACCAGCCCAACATGAGACCCACCCCATGGGAAGCACCAATCCCTAACACTACTAATAATACTTAGTTATACTTGCAAACAGGAACAAGATGTCCTCTGAGAGGCTCAACCCAGCAGACTCAGACAGATGCAGACACCCACAGCCAAACAATGGATTGAGTTTGGGGACTCTTACAGAAGAATAGGAGGAAGGATTGCTGGCCCTGATGAAGATAGGAACTCTATAGGAAGACCAACAAGGTCAACTAACCTGAACCCTTGGGGTTCTCACAGACTGAACCACCAACCAAAGAACATACACAGGCTGGACTTAGGCTTCCCAGTTCATATGTAGCATAGGTGCAGCTTGACCTTCATGTGGGTCCCAAACAACTGGAGCAGGGGCTGGCCTAAAAGCTGTAGCTTGTATGTGAGATATGTTCTTCTAGCTGGGCTGCCTTGTTTGGTCTCAGTGGGAAAGGAAGCGCCTAGCCTTGCAGAGACTTTAAGCGCCAGGATAGTTGGAGGATTCCCAGGGGCCACCCACCTGCCCAGAGGAAAAGGGGAAGGGGATGAGGGAGGATTGTGGGAAGGGTTAACTGGGAGGGGGCAGTGAGTGAGATGTAAAGCGAATAAGTAATAAATACATAAATAAATAAGAAAGAGCATAAGAGCCAAAGGGGATGGAGGACACCATAAAAATAAAGCCCTTCTAAGTCATGAACTCACAGTGACTGAAGCAGGTCCTTTGCTTATGCATTATGGCCTCCAGTTCAGTGTTTTTACGGGACTTGTGAGTATGGGAACAAGTTGGTCTCGCTGATTACTGTGCTTCTCATGGGCTCTTTTCCTCCTGATGTTTGTTTTGTCCAATTTCAATCGATTACTTTTTGTTTTTACCTTATTATATTTTATTATATTTTATTTTATTATTATCCTTTAGAAGCCTGTTTGTTTTCTAATGAGACAAAAAGAATGGATCTGGATGGGTAGGTAGGTGTGGAGGAGAGGGGAGGAGTAGAGAGAGGGCAAACTATAATCAAGATATATAATGTGAGAAAAAATCTATTTGCAATAAAAAGAAAAAAGCCTAGCCTCATGATTTTAAGTGAAAAAAAATATCCTAGAATAAAGTCATAGATAAACTTTCTACAATGAACTGTCCACATATTTATGGTACAGTTCCTAAATTTTAAAAAGTAAAAATTTCTAAAAGCAAAAAGTGTTCAGTAAAAAAGTCTAGATAATAAAGTTTTAATATTTCTTTCTTCCAAGAAAATTTGCTATAAACTTTTAGTAAATACTTTGTAAGCTCTTTTCTTTCTGTTTGCATATAGATTTGAACAGATACAGGTAAAATGACCACAAAAATGTGATCATATTCTAAATTATGGCTTAGTCATAGCTTATCTATAGTAAATATATTTCTGAGTCAAGAAATATATCTCATTATAATATCCAAATTTGGTCACACAGATTTATTATATATACATATAGTCTTTTATTTAATTCTCTATTGGTAAATATTTAAAATTGGGTTTCACTTTTTTGTTGTTTGGTTCTTGGAATAATGCTATGAAGTCCAGGCAGACGTTAGACTTACTATGCAGCCCAAGCTGGCCATGAACCTGTAATCCTCCTGCTGCAGTCTTCTGTGGCTGGAATACAGAACACCACTGTACCTGGCATGGGTCCATTATACTATCTTAACCAGCACTATGATGGAACCTTTGTGATTATATCATCATGCATATCATTTCTTACCCCACATGAAATTTCCTAAAGCAGGCACTATGTTTGGCCAACTGGTAAAGAGGATAACATATCTCAGACACTTCCCTACAATTATGATCCTGGATCACTGCCAATTTCCCCCTAGCACAGTTACTTCGAAACTCTAGCAAGGTCTGAAGCCTTTGAAAACCAAATGTTCCATAGCTGTCTATCAAGTTCTACATCTACAGACCGTCTATAGTTAGTACAGCTGGCTCTCATCAACTCAGGATGAGATCATGCCTGGGGTCAGAATCTTTTCTGCCTGGCTTTCAGCTTTCAAAAACTGTGGTCTAAGCTGGGCAGTGGTGGCTCACTGCTTTAATCCCAGCACTCGGGAGACAGAGGCAGGCAGATCTCTGTGGATTTCAGGCCAGCCTATTCTACAGTGAGTTTCCAGGACAGCTAGGCTACACAGAGAAACTGTATCTTGAAAAACAAAACTGATTAATTAATATTAATTTAAAAGTTTAAAAACAGAATACAAGAAGAAGAGGAAGAGGAGGAAAGGAGAAGGAGGAAGAGGAGGAAGACGACAACGAAGACACGGAGGTGGCATCGGCGGCAGCATCAAGATGGGCTGGGAATGTAGCCCATGGTTGATTGATGTTCATGAAGTGGACATGAAGCCCTGGGCTCAATTAACAGCATCTCACAAAGAACTGAGCACAATGGCAGATGCCTCTAATTTCAGCACTCAAGGAGGATCAGAAATCCTCTGACAGAGAGAGTTCTGCTTTAGTAGACAATGCCCTACCAACCAACCCAACAACCACAAAAGAACAACAGAACAAAAGTCAAGAAACAATGCGAGATGGAAGACAGAGTAAACGGTTGACTAGCATTCTGCTGTTCCGGTTCCAGTATGATTTAATGGAGAATGACAGAAATGTTTCCTAAGAGAGGGCTGGCAACATTTACAGAAGATGTCACTCCAAAGATTCAAGAACTTCAATAGACTGAAAGGCTTCCAAAGACATTAGCTTTTTATGCCCTCAAAACACATCAAAAACATAAAAGTATCTTTCAAAAAGCAGAGAAATGATCCTAAAATGAAAGTTAAAAATGCAAGAAGACTTTAGAATTTAAAACAATTTACAATACAAGTCTGGGGATGGCTCACCCCACCACATTAAATAGGAACATCAAATTAAAAAAATCAAAAATACAAAATGCTTCAGAAGAAATTATATAGGTGTATTAAACAGCTTGTCTCATTGCTGTGACTAGTATACCTGACAGAAACAAAATAAAGAAGGAACTATTTCTTTCAGCTCTAGTTCGCCGACTCCTTGGCTCTAGGTGCTTGGGTAGATCATCATGATGACCAAGGATGTGACCAAAGCTATTTACATCACGGCAGACCTAGAAGCAGGGACAGGGAAACGTGTACACTGGACTGGCTTTCTTCTTTTCTGCCTGCTATCTTGTCTAGGCTTCCAGCCCGTAAGATTACATCCAGAGTCTCTGTAGTTACCCCTCTCTAGAAATATTCTCAGACACCCCGTCCTCACCACGCTCCTAGGTGATTCTAAGTCTAATCAGTCTGACAATGAAGATGAACATAAATGCTGGTCTCCACTGTGGCACAACACTAGACACAGACCTGGGATTCCTTTGGGCCACATCCCCTCTGGGGCTCACTGCGTCTTCCCTTCTTTCCAATGATGACTGAGACCTTCCTGCACCGCTGGTCTGCAAGTACTTTATCTGCACTGACTCACTGGATCCTCACGAGAAATACTAGTATCTCTTTTTACACCAAGAAAACTGACATTAGTAAGTTAAAGAATTTTCCCAAACTTCACAAATTTAAAGTATAACATGTCCAATAGCAAATCCTATGTTAACCTTGAGACTCTGATATAACATTCTATCTGAGGATCTTTGTAGGTACAAAGGACAAGACTTGAATTTCTGGAAGAATCACACAATGATTCACATACAAGCCACAACTCACTTTCCGTGATCTCCAAGAACTCACTCACACACTAAATGAGGAAGTCTTCACAGTCCAGAGATCTTCTAGGTCTTCATCTAACATGAACATCTCATGCATTTTCTCTTAAAATCTCATGTCTTCCTCTTAAAACTCCATATCCTCCACAGTTCTTTATTTTAAAAAGGAGCAAGTAACTCATAACTCAATGGTTCCAACAGTAAAATGAAATGAATGTGTGCTCTGGAAGGAGACACTAAAACGAAGTAAGTGGAACTGAATGGCAACCTACGGCATGGTTAGCACTCAAGAGTCTAAAAGACGGGCTCTCAGCTCAGTAACTCAAAGACAAGCCGATGCCACACTGACTGGGCTCCGTCCCTCAGCCAGGCGCTAAGCTCATGTTGTCCTCTCTTCATGTCACTGCACACAGTAACTACTCTGAGAAGAGGTGACAGCTAGTCATAGGACCGAACCAATTGCTTTTCTGTCCTAACTTCAACCATATTTAAAGAAGGCCAAACTCATTCATGAACAATGTTAAGACCAATAATATCCACAGAATATTCCACTTAAAACAAATTATAATGCCAGGTGTGGTGGTACAAAATTTGGGAAGTAGAAGCAGGAAGATGATGAGTTTGAGGCTGGCCTGGACTTCACCCCTCCTCCTCTCAAAAGGAAGGAAGGGAGGGAAAGAGGGAGGGAGGGAAGGGAGGGAGGGAGGGAGGAAACAAAGCAAAATATTTATAGTCAATACTATTATCTGACAATTTAAAAGTAAATTATGACAAGAAACTTACGATGTAAAATGTATTACATGCCATCAATAAAATCTGCCTATTGAAGGCTCCACGGGAACAGAGAAACCACCTTCCACATCTACTATACACCCACCTTAGCTATTTCTTCTTCCAATCGTTCTTGATACTGTTTTTCCATCAGCTTAACCATATTTGTTTCTTGCTTCACTTCAAATCCATCAGAAAACTACATGAAAAGGCAGATGATGACACTTTATGTATATAAAATGTATTATCACCTATTTCTAATCTCTTAATCTCAAAATGTTTCTTAAACAGTATTTCTTAGCAAACTTCTGGATACTGTTAACAGAAAGTAAATTTCTATTATTTTTAATTAAAAACATTCATTCTAACAATTCTACTAAATTACACTTACTACTATAAAAGAAAGGAATACTTATATATTTATAATTCAAGTTAAGGGAACTTAAAATAAGATTTTATGTCTGTGTGTATGTGTGTTTATGTGTGTGTGTGTGTGTGTGTGTGTATGTGTGTATGTATGTGTGTGTATTTTTGTGTGTGCACGCACACGCATGTGTGTTTCCTCAAGCTGTGACTGCATTTCTTGGTCAAATTTTTTTACTTTTTGGTATTTACTTATATGGTCCAATTTTTCACAAACATGAATACATTTTTGTCAGTATAACAAACATAAGCATTTTCTGAAACATAAACATATTCTTAGAATCAAAGTATTTAACACTTAGGTGAATTTCTTTTTTAAATGGGTCATTTGTTTTTAATCTGTTTATCTTCTGAGTTTGCATGTGCATGTGTGTGTCACTGTGCACAAGTAAAAGTCAAAATATTCAACCTGTGGGAGTGAGTTTTGTCCTTCTACTATGTTTCTTCTGGGGTTCAACAAACTCAGGTCTTCAGCTTTGAAGTGCCTTGGCCTGCTAAGTCATCTCCTGTTCTTTATGAGTCATCTCAGGCTATTGGCACAAAGCTACCAATGCAGACGGTCACAGGCCAGTGGGCTTGGCCTTCTCTTGCTGCTGCTGCTGCTGATGCTGCTGCTGCTGCTGCTGAAGGCTCTGCCTGAATTAATCCTTGTACTCCTGGCCTAAGACACCTTCTTCCTCTTCACCAGGCTTGTTGTGGTATTTCAGCCCTTCTGTTTTGACATGAGTTGGAATACAGCCCTATTAGCATGAGGGTGGTACCCAGCTTCTCCATTTACACATTCTGCTGATGCTCCAAAATGATGATATCTATCATGCCTTGAGAGTTCAGACAAATGAGCTCTGCAGGTACAGTCTCCCTCAGTGCCTTCTACTCCCAGTCCTGATGCTGCTCCCAACAAGTCTGTACAGCTTCTTCTCCAGGCTATCAGTCAGGCTCAGTAGCACCAGGGAACAACATGCTGGTGATGCTCCTTACTCTGCCCCATCACCAGCGTGTTTCAGAAGGAACAGAGCTATAGTCCATGCACATGACCTGAGACCAGATGGGTGAGGTCGGCCTACCCATATGCTGAACCTCACCCATTCCCTAAACCCATTAGTCCCTTCTTGGAAAACCCATTAGTCCCTGCTCTGCTTCCTGGCAGGGTCCAAGCATTCGGAAGCTAGAACGTCCTTTTCATATTGCAGGTCTTCAGTGGGTGGTGCAGGTTACATGAGGCCATCCATGTATGGTTCTGTAGTACTGCCACAGTCACGACATCATCAGAACACAGACTTTGCTAGTGGCTCCTTCACCTCCATATAGACAGTGTTGTTAGTGTGTCCGAGATTGATGACTACGCTGTAAGATTCTGAACCATGACTAAGCAGTCCAGCCCACAAATTTAGAACTGTCATGATCTTTCCTGTTGACTCATTCACACAGGTCAGAAAATGGTCCCTGAAGCTGCAGTCAGGAAGAAGTGGAGGAACTTAGAGGATGCGTTACAGGTCACAGTGGGGCACAATGCCCTGATTGTCTGTCACAGATGTAAAACCAGTGGTTCTGGGCCCCAGTGAGCAGTGTTTTATGCTGATCTTACATGTGAGTGTTTTTGTCACTCAATTCCAAACAGCCATAGATTCAGGTGTTCTTCTAAAGCCTAGGTGTCTCTCAGTTCTGAGAGTTTACAGAGGAGAGGGCCCAAACTTCCACATGCTCGAGAGATGTGCTCGGCGCTCTAGCAGAGCCAACAGCCCCACTGTCAGCCTACAGCATCTTGTCTGCCCCATATTCTCCTTCCACAAACCAGGGCTCCTCAGCAATCAACAGCACAAACTAACGTTTGCCTTTTCTTCCTGAGTCTCAGGCACCTTTGAGATTTAGACTTCAAATATGGAAGCTTCTGAGATCTGTCACTATGACAGAACTTCCAAGCCATCTCCACAGGGGCAGCAGTGGGGCCTATGGGCCTGGGGCCCACCCCAGGTTTGCTCTGGCTTGTTTTGTTATGAGGCCTACTTTGGAACCTGGGACTTCTTGGAACTGTCAATGCTTCTGACCTCTGGGTCCAGGCTCCCTGGTCCTCTTCAGAGATGGCACCTGAGAAGCACTGGCAGAGGGCAGGGGCCTCTTCCTTCTAGTACCTCCTCCATATTTTTCTCTTGGCCTTATGTTTGTCTTTCTTGCGTGTGATAGCCCTGCTGAGCCGGAGGCTGATGCCATCTCACACACAGAACAACAACAATGTGAATTTCATCAAAAAAACAACAACAACAACAAAAAAAAAAAAAACAATGATCCTTAGGAGTACGGGAGATACAGAAATTGGCTTGATGTACAGAATGAGAAGGAACCATGATTGGTATCTTCTCTAACTGCAGATGATGCTGAGAGTGCTGTTGCTGGAGATGTGAAGCGTGGAACAGGGTGTTTTCCTGTGTAGCACATGCTACAAAGAGCTTTTATATAGGGCGCGGCCTCTGCTGGAGACACCCATCACCGCAGCCCCAGCTCCTCGGATCTTGGGGATTCCTGAACACTGTCTGAAAGATGGCCTGTCCTACTTCCTACAGTAGAAAACTCAGGGCTGAAGCTGGGTCTCTACATGTACAGTGTGTGTGTGTGTGTGTGTGTGTGTGTACATCGAAAGGCATATATTACAATAATAAAGAAAGAGGCCATGACTTTGAGAAGTAAGAGTGGCTCATGGGGGAGTCCTGAGGATACAAAAGGAACCAGGGAAATGATGAAATTATACATTTGTCAAAATGAAAAAAAAAATCAGAGCAAAATTTAAATTGATAACACATTTGGATAAATGAAAAACAAAGCCTTCACGTTTACTTTCTCTTTCTCTGTATTTTCCCTTCTAAATCTTTTGTGTTTAATTAGTTACCAAATCATGTTCATAAAATGGCACTAAAAAAAATCAGGGTATGAAAGATAAGAAATGCAATACCTCTGCGGTGCCGTCCACACGCTCCCGTAGACAGCTTTCACAGTAGCCTGGTTTCTGGGCACCAGATCCTTTAAACTCCACTGAATCAATGGATAAGCTAAATGTAAGTAGAAGAGGGTGGAGGTATTAAGAGTTTTGAGTTTTATTAATCTAAAGTCTATAGCATACACGCATATACTGGAAAACAAAAACCAACAAGCCAAGCCTTATAGACATTGTAACTTAAGTCATGTTTCTGTCTAACTTTTATATTTAAAGGTAATAAAATGTAAAAAGAGTATTTTTACACATCAGCAAATATAGTTTATGCCACTTTACAAAGTGTATTAAAATATACATCTATAGGCATTAATTTTATAGTTATTGAAGATAAATTTAGTAAAGAATAAAATCTGTTTTATTAAACCTCTCCCTCTCTTCCTCTCCCTGTCCCTGTCACTCTCCCTCTCCCCATCCCCTTCCCTGTCCCTGTCCTATCTCTCTCTCAAAAGCCCTGAAGAAGACACACCAGAAGTCAGAATGCTCCCCTGCATCTGCAGTGGGCCTAGGCCCAGTGGCAGGAGAGGAGACTCCATCTTTACAAAGTGACTTTAAGACGTTGTTGCTTTTAATATATTTGTGTATTCTTTAGCTTTATGTCTCTATTCTGTGTTGTTCTACAGGCATCCACTAATCTATGAACTTTTTTCTAAAATGTTTAGCTTGAGTAATAAAAATAAAGCAACATTAACATTTAGGAACACAGGAAAAGATAAAGGGAGAAAGTCATAATTTTCACTGTTAGGAAATATAATTACATGATCTCCATTCACATATATCCCCACTGCCTTCTTTGTTCCATTCTATTTTTTTTTAATTTCTTCTTTTTTCTGTTCTGTTCTTCTCCTCTTTTCTCCTATTCTCTCTCACATTTTGCTGTATAAAACTGACCACATAAAAATGATGCCACTGTCTAGCTCTATAACCCAGTAACTTAACTTCTCATGACATTTACCCCTGTACAGATATTTAGTAGTACAAACGATGCTACAGTAGCAAATATTACAAGTATGTCTTTGATGCTTACATCTATATTTTTCTATCCTAAGACTCTTATAGCTGTTAAGTGTAATACGTGAAATCCTGGCACTTCATTGACAATCACTGCATTCTATAAGCTTTATTGGTACTTACTCCAATTTGGAAAAGACCAGTTTAACTAACAACGAATTCACAGCTACCCAATAAAATGGATATGACCACTGGCCCCTTCCTATCTGATTTTATCCTTGAAATAAATGTAATCATGTCCCATACTCCCTGGCAAGCAACACAGAATCATAGTATTTTTCTCTATGTTTCCATGAACATGTCAATCACATGTATTAGTAGCCATCCATTAGTCTATTTTCCTGGTATTCTAGTAGACAACATTACAGAAATGTGCATTGAACATGTTACACAGACATGGGCTTAAATTCCAGAACAGAGGTGACTAGTTTACAGCTCCATTACTGTCTTTTAATAATTACTTGCATCACTGAATTACTTCAATTATATTCACAATTATATTGAAATATCCAAGAAAAGTTACTTTGTAAACATACCATTCATTTTTTAAAAATCATTAAGTTGGTATACTTACCACAATCAATCTTATTATGGCACTTTCTAGCAAACTCGGCCTCTTAGCAGATGCTGCTCACTCATGTTCCGATGCCCCGCCCTTCCCTGTGAGCCCTTTCCCCTTCTTGCTCCTTTCTGCTTTCAAGGTGCAATGCATTCTTTGCCCCTCCTCCATCTTCCCCAGCAACTCTTTTCACTCTCTCAGTCTTCTAATATTTTTATTTGGTTTTGTTTTTCAAGACAGAGTTTTTGTCCTAGAACTCACTGTAAACCAGGCTGGCCTCGAACTCCCAGAGATCCATCTGTCTCTGCCTCCTGAGTGCTTGGAGTAACGGCGTGTGCCAGTACTACCAGGCCTTCCTTTCTAATTTTTTAAGCCTTACATTTACACACACACATACACACACACACACACACACACACACACACACACACACGGCCATTACAAGCTTGGCTGCATACAAGGAAGAACATTTTGTCGAACATTTTGAGTTTGGGCTACCAAGCCTAGTATTATACTTTCCAGATTCATTAGTTTTCTTGCAAAGTTTATAATTTTACTTTTTTTCTACAACTGAATAAAATTGTATTGTTAAATATGCTGCATATTCACTCATCTGTTGATGGACATCTAGGCTGGTTCTACTACTTGTTATTGTGTTCGGGTAGCGTAAATATGGATGTGTAGGTTATCTCTGAGGTAGTGTATGCAGCGCACTGGGTGTATGACCAGGACTACAGCTGGGTCATGCAGTAGCTCTGTTTTTAATTTCCTGAGAGAACGCCATACTGAGTTCCATAATGGCTGATGTGGTTTGCTCTCCCACCAGCCATGAAGAAGGATTACTCTTTCCTTACATCCTTGCCAGCACTGAGCTGTCATTCAACTTCCTGATATTAACCATTTTGACTAAGGTAAGGCATTAGTTTGCATATTCCTAAAGGATAAGGATGTGGAATACTTGTAGAAATACTTGCTGGCCATTTGTGTTTCTCCTTTTGAGAATCATCTGCTCATTCCATTAACCCACTTGTGACTTGGCAGTTTTGGAATTACATTTTTGTGGTTTTTCATCAATTCTAGATATTACCACAATGGCAAAGGTTTCTCTCACTCTGCTAGATATTTGCTCTGCTGACAATTTCTTTTGTTGTGCAGAAACTTTTAAACCTCTTTGTACAGCTGACCCCTTCCACAGGATCCATTCAAGCTCTTCACAGCCTGTTTCATTGATGCCTCAAGACACTAAAGGAAACTCGTTATCTGTTACTATTTAGAGGTCACGTAATCTCTTCCTGATCATATGGCCAGCAAAGGTTACTGCAGAGAACAAATGGCTCGAAAATCCAAGGACTTCTCAATCTCAAATATTTGTCTAAGAAGGTTCTGGTGAGGTCACTTAGAAGGTTGTTAAATGAAGATTCTGTTCTTCTTAAACTATTTTGAGTCTAATGACAGGGCATAGTAATTTCTTTTTATTTTTGTTTTTTAAGAATAGTAAATTCTTAATTTAAAAAAATGTAAGAAAGGGCAGAAAGCTGGTATGAGCCCAAATGCAGTAAGGCAGAACAGCCAACATTCTGAGGAGAAGCACAGACACCTACACTCTGGAGCATGTTCCCCACACCCATGCCACCTTTCTTCACACACTGGAGAAAGCATCACTAATTAAAGATTATTCACTAACTAATCACTAACAACACATTGTTTGAAATACAGACCAGTTTTCAGAGAATTCTTGCTCAAAAAGACTACAGCAGTGGTTTCTAAATGTGAATCCATAGGCTGGATATATTATTTTTCTTGTTATCTGATTCCAAATATAGAATCAAATAATTTATTACTATACATACCTAAAAACAATACACTAAACTCTAAAACTCTCCAATGTTTCTTCTGTAAGGGAATGTTTGGCAAGTACAAACATTCTGGTCTCAGCACACGGGGCTTTATAGGACTGCCAAATGACTGAGCACTTCCACAGCCTACATGTAGTTCTTGAATAAAAGAGTAAGACTGCTTTCAAAGATGGAAGCTGTCTTGTCTTCCACCTGCAGTTACAAAAACTGTATTGCTGTTCTATTAACAAATGCCTATAAAGACAGAAGTTCTACAAGAGCCGAGTAAGTCAAGTCAGAATAAACCTGCAATTTTCATAACACTAGTTTTACAGGTTCAAGTACACTTCCAAAGTCAATTATAATACATTCATCAAGTATCAACTGAGCACCTACTGAGTGCAGGGAATCACAAGGCCTAAGAGTAAGTCAGTTACTTAGTGACCCAGATTCTCCCTTCCTCCTCAAGGTTTATAGTTCTTTATCAGAGGCAATACAAATTCACTTAAGGTAACCAAAGAACTAATGACAGTATGTTCTTAGTTGAGGATCCGATGGCAGTGAGGGGCTGGACATGTCAGCAAGTGGAGAATCCATTTAGGGAGAAGGAAGTGCCATGAAAAATTCCTTAAGCAGAAACAGCCTGATATATTTACTGACCCCAAGGAGGAAGCTTAGTCTGAGAACAGTGACAGCCAAGTATCTGAGAAGAGTCAGGGAGGTCACAGGACTCACTATGAAGGACAGAGGAGCACTGAGTAACATGGTCTGTCTTAAATTTAAAGGAGCAAAGTGGTAGCACTGTGTTGACTGTGTTAGAATGAACTATGAGGAGGAGTTAGAGCCATCAGTTGAGTGCAGGGCCTGGTGGGTGGTGCAGTTCCCTGTACTCTGAAGGCAGAGAAAATAGCAACCTGTCATAGATGAGATGGCAGGTATGAGAAGGAGGGAGGGGAGTGCAGGCAGGAGAGGGCTAAGAAAGGAGCACTCTGAAGTTAGACACTGGCAAGTGTCAGCATTCTGCAACAAAGTGAAGGAAAGGCAGTGGAAGGATCCTACCTTACACTGCTAACGGATGAGCCAGATCAAAGGAGTGAAGGCAAGCTACAGAATACACGAGAAACATACCCCCACTATCTGATTTAATCCTGCAGAGTAACAACTTTATGACAATGTAAGTAAAATTCCAATAGCAATAGCCTTCGGTTCCCACTTGTTTCACATGTCTCGAAGGCACAGAATGATCTGCTGAAATTCTTCTCTCTATGCTCAGGTTACATCTTAGCCTTAAAATAGCCTCTCTGGATATGCTGACTGACAGACAACATATGCATACCTTGGCTGAACCATAGCCTCACTGACAGCCTGAAGCCTTTTCTGCAAACACTGAATTTCTGCTCTGTAGTTTGCTTCAGTTTCCTTCAGCTGCAGCTGTCCGGCGGCCACGAGGCTCTGTAACTCCTGGATTTGCCTCTCACACTCTCTGCTCTTCTCACTGGCTGGCAGAGAAGACAGCTTGCTCTCGTGACTGACATCTGTGTCACAGGAACAGAATCAAAGCACACTTTGGTACAAGTTTCTTGGTAACAAAACAAACTTACTTGTGTATACAGAAAGTACTTGTATTTCTTTACAAATGCGCTTTAGTGATAACTTAGGTTGCAGTTTCACTTATTCTCATTGATGAAAACAGGAAAACCAGCTGAGCCAACATCACTCTCGAGGCTGGAGAATCACTAAATCTAACAGTTTTACACCTTACATTTCAAACAGTTGAGAAACACAGACTGTAAGTCAGGGGAAAGGCCCAAAGAGATGAGGAGTCTTGGCTTCTCACTTTAAGGATTAGAAAACTGAACAAGATGACCATGAAATGCTCAAGTCATCAAATTACCAAGTTCAAAAACAGCATGTATAAACCTTTAGTATAAAAGTACTGCACTGAGGGCTGAGGATTTAACTCAGTGGTAGAGAGCGTGCTTAGCAAGTACAAGGCCCTGGGTTCAGGCCTCAGCTCTGGAAAAAAAATACTGTACTGCATTATCCACTTGAAACTTACCAGTGCTCTGTAACACACTCTGAGAACGACCTGACAGAAGGCCTGCTTCCTCTTCTGCCACATTTTCTTCATCAAACTCGAGCGTCACATGGTCTGTGTGTTGTTCATGAATCTATTGAAAACAAAAGAAAAATGACATAAATATACAATCCAGGACTTGGAAATCCACATTAAAACAACCAGAGCACTCTGCATTAGGTCTGTTCTCTAACCCCCTAAACCTGTGCCACTCTGAATGGAGCACTTTGTTTCCTTTGATAAATGCTTCACTGTCATAGCCACGGGAATGAAACTGTATTAGCAATATTCTTTTATAGCCAGAGGAATGTTCACTTTCAAAAACCAAATGCTTCACAGGCATTTGAACTCAAAGTCCTTTATATTTTCACTGCAAGCATCAAATTTTTATTATCAAGAGTTGACAACAAAATTTGTATTTACCCCTGGATGGCGGGTTTATGCAAAGTGGTATGTTGCTCACGAAATGCACTCTTCAAACATCTAAGATCTGCGTGTCCAACTTCGAGACAAGGCAGAGGAAGATTACAAAAGAGTGCATGCACAGATACACACGCAGTATATTGGGCCTCACAGAATTTACTAACTCACTGAGGAAACGAGACTAGTGGAGAAACAACACATATGAAGTCTGAACGCAATGACAGGGCCTCGGAAGAAAGACTCACAGGAGTCTGAATGACGGGAAGAACCCACACTTGATCTTGGCCTTAATCATTTCTAGCAATGACTTTCTGGAAAGGCTCTGTGAGAAGATCTATGCTTTAATGAATAAAGTCAATGACCTTTTTGTGAGGGGCTTAAATTGCATGAAAAGGGCAAAGTAAAGCTAGTTAAATAAATAATACCTAAATTGCAAGGAACTTTAATAGCAAAGGAAAAAGAGTCTTGACTTGCCAGACTACACAAATATTGCATACAATGAAAACCAGTGAGTTATAGGAAAAAAGCTATGTTCAAAGAGGCTATTTCAATTGGTCACCTCTATCTATACAAGGAGTCCTCTACCACACTCCTACCTCCTGGATGTTTCTTAATCCCTTGTTGTGTGTGTGTGTGTGTGTGTGTGTGTGTGTGTGAGAGAGAGAGAGAGAGAGAGAGAGAGAGAGAGAGAGAGAGAGAGAGAGACTAAGATCATATGCATGTTTGTGCATGTCTGTGCATGTACGTGGGGAAGTATATGTGCATAGACGTCAGAAGTCAACATCAGGTATCTCTTTCGATCTCTACCTTGGTGTTTTTAGACAGCTTCTCAATGCATCTGAAACTTGCCAATTAGGCTAGACTTTTTGGCCAGTAAGCCCCAGGGATCCTTCTGCTTCCACCTCCCCAAAACAGGGATTACAGAACATGCGACCTTCTACATGGGTTTGGAGGGGTTAAACTCAGGTCCTCTTCTTGCAGAGGAAGGACTTAACAGAGTCATTCTCCAGCCCCTTCAGTACATTTAAACAGGAATCTTACCTACTACATCCCAGGGATAAAATAAAAAGCACCAGATAATGTAACTTTTCAGTGGAATATTTACTCAACTCACAAGCATGGACTAAGCCTCTATCATGTGCATTCCACATGCTGTGCTAACCGGAGGGAATAAATGCAGGGTTCTCTGCTCAAAGTTTGAAACATTGTGGACGGGGCAGATCAGTAAACAATTAAAATAAAGTGAAAAGTAATGTGATAAAAATATATGTTTAAGAGTGAGTGTTGAAACAGAAAGAAAGGTAACAAGAATGTGGGATTAAGAGAAGGCTCAGAGGAACAGAGGGAGGATGTCTAAGACTAGGATGGCAGCCAGAGATGACACAAGAAAGTAATTCTTAAACTAACTGTAACAAGCAACAGGAACAAGCCAAGAAGTACAGAAGAGGATGGGTACTCTAGCAAAAGGAAAAGCATGCAGCAAAGCCCAGGAGTGGGAGTTTGGGTTCACTTGGCTGAAATGAGTATTGAAGTTCTGCAGTAATTGCTGCAGTCCTGAGCTGATTCTGATGGACTGTGGGGTGTTTGAGCAATTATAGCTAACTAACTGCTGTGTTAAACACCACTCATTACCCAATGTGCGCACAACAGTTGAGAGAACAGCTTTGAGATGTCTGTCTTTAGAAAGGGCTGTTTCCAACTATTTCTCTTGGCAGTAATTAGAAAACCTAACTAATAAACAGCTCTCTATGCTAATACAGACCTGCCTGAATGGTGATTGTGGGTTACTATTGCTACAGAAAAGCACTATGGTCTGTGTGAACACTTGTGGAGGTTGCCTATCTGCCACTCGATGGAAAACGGACTCCTAATCTCAGGTGAGCACCATTGGCATACAATCTGAGCATCCTCTTACACCACACAGGAAAACTCCAAATGTGTCAAGTGACTGAACCAAGAGCAGACACAAGGCTGAAGGGCTGGGGCAGAGCCAACAGCCAGCGCTAGGTGCTAGCTGAGCCACAGAAAAAGCTCACACCTGCACAGAAGGCAACAGGGCAGAGAAACCTGGCCCATCAGAGGGCACAACAACAAATTACACAAAGACAGAGTTAAATAATGTTAAATGTGATATCCACTGTGTGCAAAACTACTAATTATCTTCTTTAACAGATAAAGACAGAACCATTGACTTAAAGAATACCACAAGTAACAGTCTATGAGTGTAGTTTAGTGATAGACTACTGTTCTACTGTGTGCCTTTACTTAAACTCCAGTAAGCTAAAAAAGGAAAGATATCTATACAACTAAATACAACTGTTTCATACTTTAACACTTGACATCCATTTATACTTCGTCATGACTTAAAAACTTGTCTCAGAAAGTTACGTATCATTCAAATTCTGGAAGTTTCTTCAGCTTAGGATATAAATTATGCTCTAATCTGAACATATAAATGATTTAGTATTTCTAACATCCCTCTCCATGGTCACTTATTTTAGAACTTCTTGACTGACAGAACAGCGGGTAATAAAACAAACGCAGATATCAGATTCTCTATCCCACAGACCTTGCTTAAACGTGTCTGCAGTACCAAGAGCTTGCTGCATTCTTCTGTTACTTTACCAAGAAGGATTTGCATGTTTTCTTGAAAGTCTGAATAAAAAACAAACAATTACAATAATTTCATTTCACAGTACAAATTTACTCCTTTTACAAAACGTGATTTACCTACTTATTAACTTTAGAAACATATCAGGTAGTAATAATACCCATACATTTGGTAATAAAAAGTTTAAGAATCATTTCTATGAAGTAACTGGTATGACATTAACTTGAAAACTTTATCTCTGCCGGGCAGTGGTGGCGCACGCCTTTAATCCCAGCACTTGGGAGGCAGAGGCAGACGGATTTCTGAGTTCGAGGCCAGCCTTGTCTACAGAGTGAGTTCCAGGACAGTCAGGGCTACACAGAGAAACCCTGTCTCAGAAAAAAAAAGAAAAAAGAAAACTTTATCTCAAGATACATTAGTTTCTGTAGCTATTTATTATCAGGTTGCTCGTTACCTATACAAATATACTGGGTACATAAATCTGTTAAGAAACACCAATAAATTCAAAACTAACACCACATTTATATGAAGAAAGTTATATCTTTATTTATCTAGCCCTGCCCTGGTTGGCCTGAAATGGTAGTGTAGACTCAGGAGGCCAAGGACTTAGAGATTCATCTGCCCCTGCGCCCCTGCCTGTGCGCCCCTGCCTCTGTGCCCCTCTATGTACCTCTTGCCCTCTGCCCCCTATCTGTTCCCCTGCCCCTCTGACCCCCCTTCCCCCCTCTGCCCCTCTGCCCCTCTCTCTGCCCCTCTGACTTTCTGCTTCTGCCTCCCAAACATGAGCACTGGAATTAAAGGCATGACCGCACTCTGGAAGACCCAACAGGCAGCTGAAAGACTCAGATGCAGAGATTTGCACCCAACCAATGGACAGAAGCTGCTGACCCCTGTGGTTGAATTTGGAAAAGGCTGAAAGAGCTGAGGAGGAGGGCGACCCTGGAGGAGTACCAGCAGTCTCAATTAACCTAGACCCCCAAGATCTCCCAAACACTGGACCACCAAAAAGGCGGCATACATCAGCTGTTATGAGACCCCCCCAATACATATACAACAGAGGACTGCCAGGTCTGTGTTCAGAGATGCACCTAACCATCAAGAGACTGGAGGCCCCAGGGAGTTTAGAGGTCAGGTGGGATAGGGGTGGGGGATGGGGACAGCCTCATGGAGACAGGGAGGTGGGTTGGAGGTATGGGATGTCAAACAGTCAGAGGGTGAACGGGGCGGGGGAATAAAATCTAGGGTATAAAAAAAATATTTTTTAAAAGAAAGAAAGAAGAAGGAAGGGAGAGAGGGAGGGAGGGAGGGAGGGAGGGAGGGAGGGAGGGAGGGAGGGAGGAAGGAAAGGCATGCACCACCACACCTGCCAAAGGTTATTTTTTAATGTATCTTAATTCTCTATTTTTTATCCACTTTAAAAATTCTAAACCATTAATTTAAACTTAGTAACTCTAATTTTTAAAGATTAGGATCTACAGTTAGAACAGTTAACAGAAAGAATTAGAATAAAAAATAGACTGGAATGAAGAAATCAAGGAGAAAAAAAACAAGAAAAAAAAAGAGTATTTAAATTATTTGTATAGTATGATTGTTATACTATAAAGACTAAAAGAATACACTAAATATGAATTTCATGACTAAAAATAAGACACTAAGAAAACGTATTTATATTAAGCTGTTTAAAGTTAAGTTTATAAGCAGTTGATGTAAGCAAAGTAAGTACTGTTTAACAGTATGGCAAGCTCTTTACCTTGAACTTCGTAGCTATACTCTTGTAATTCTGGGCTTTGATTTTGAGAAGTGTAAACACCAGAATTCTCTTTCTCTTCTATATTCATTTCACATTTTAAAGGAGTATAGCATTCATCGAAAACATTGTTTAGGGTCTGTTAACAAAATTGAATATTTTAAATTAAAATTTTAAATTCTTCTCCTAAATATTAGAAAACATTAACCTAAAGGCAAAAGGTCAGAATAGTGTAAATGGAATCTGAATCTCCTCTCCCTCTACATATGAAATCAATCTACAGAAAAAACATATTTCTCTTTGACATGAAATTATTCTTTTATCAGGAAAATACTGATATTCTTAATTATAGAAAAATACCGACACTCTTAATTATAGAAAAATACCATGGATTTGTTCTGTTATCTTTGAATATAGACATATATCATGAAGTGTAAGCAATCACTCCTACTCTCTACTCATGGAAGCATGGTTCCTACTCTGACGTGATTGCTCTGCCTTGAAAATATCTCATTACTCCATCAACTACCCTTGAACAAATACCACAAGGAGAGAAAGTTCAAAGATGACAATTAGAGAGGTCTGTCAAAGCAACCAAAATGATAATATTATCAAGGAGGAGATTACAGTGATGTCCTTTCTATAACATGCCAGAGTATTTTCTGTAGTTTGTATACACGCAAAGTTAAAAATATCCAGCACAATGTTCTCCAGAGAATCAGAAAATTCCATCATGTAAGACATCATTCCATGTTACATTTCATGTTACTTGGGCTTGATAAGCCAGCTGTCCAAGTTAGTTTTACCTTTGTCCCTCACACAACTGGAAATAACCACCAATGATTTAAAAGCCAATTTTTTAAATTGTTGCTATTTCTTGCATGTTTTTAAGTTAAGAATACTGTCAGTAATTGGGCATACTGATATTCCGACACAGCCACAAAGGCAAATGTTTAGTACATTAGCAACCTTATTGAGCAAACTGTTTCCCTGGGAAGGAAGACTGACCTCCCAGACAAGCACAGGATCACAGAGCCTGCACTATTAGAGACACAACTTATCTCAATTTCTTTGTTCTTTTTCTGTGGTATCAGAGACTGAATTCAAGACCTCAAACATAACAGACAAGCACTGGATCAGAGTCACATCCTTAGCTCTAAATTCCTATTGTTCCAAACTGCCTATCAGAAAAAAGTCAAATGCTCATTTTATGCTTAGAACTCAGGAATACTTCATGAGTACAGTTCTAGATGCAAGACATTTTGGAAACATACGTGCATAATTCTGTTCATTAAATCAGTAGCAATGTATATTTTGGTACCTCTCACCCAAAGCCACTTTTAAAGTAACATCATACCTTTGAAATGTGAAAGCATTTCTCAGACACTGCCTTTTGAAGTCGTTCAACGAGCACCTGTAAAGGCTCATCACCTAACAGAAAGCACACCACATGTCAGTCATTTGCTGCATATGTTAAGAAACACTGTCAGATTTTACTGCCATCACCAAAGCGTCACTAGAATAAGACTAGAAACTTCCCTACAATAAGACGTATTTCAATTTTTTCCAAATGTATTTTCCATTGTGCAATGTAGCTGTCTCAGATAAATTTCTAAGATTTGCAATTTCTACTCTGTAAAATGGTTTATACATTCAGGATTCTACATTCCAGCCCAAGAAATACATCTGTACACTTATCCATTAAATACATCCTTGCAAACCTCAAAACTCTCACAAACCAGCTGTTATCTTTTTGCACAGGGACGGAGTACAATGGTAGGGTACTTTGACTAGTATGTGGAAGCACTGGGTTTCAGCCCTAGTACTGCAAAAATAAATTCACTGATTAATTATTAAATCTCTATTTTCTGTTCTTTTTTCTTTTCAGAATTACTGACCACTACTCACTAAGCTGCTTTACCACCAAACAGAACAACCAGCTGTCAACAGAAAACACTAGAAAGGCTATCTGAAGAGGTATCAGTACAAACAATGCATCCAAAATCTTACTGAATTAAAAAAATAATAATAACTCTGGAAATGAAAAACTGGCTTCCTTCTTTACGTGACTCTTGAAATCTTAACTTTGTTCAACAGAGAACTTGCACTGGAGACTTAAGAAGTACTTCATTCCTAATGGTAAATGTGGGAGCCAACGGTGGCTGAAGGACAGGAAGCCAGAGCAGAAGAATTACAAAACTCTCACCAACAGCTGCCCTAACAGAGCTTCTGACGTCCACTGTGGTCTCTCCAATGTCCTTCCCAAGGCGCCACAAGGTTGTCTGCTTACCCTTGTCTCCAGGGTGTCTCACGCTACTTCTGGCCTTGGGGACTCTGATCTTTCAGCTCCATGTATTTTTTATTTCTAGCCTAAAAGTCCCCCCTAGGTTTTCACTACTCCTTTTAGCTGATTAGTGACTATTTCTCTCCCAAGTCATCACACACACTTAACTCAGGATGTTCTAAGATGACTATATTATTTGTCTGTGGTTCGCTCCTCTTTGTGACTGAAACCTCACAGGCAAGAAGCTTCAAGGTTACTCTCGGCTCCTCCCATCTTTGCTGCTTCTATGAATTGCCAGTGACTGCGCTCAGCTCTAACTGATAGGCTTCACTGTCCTTTTGTTTCTGGTTTCAAGGATATTTAGCCCAACACTTTACTGGGGTTATACCTAAGGTTGTGTAACTGATTTGCCCATCATTATTTAATTTTTCCCAATTAAGCACACTGGTGTCCTCTTAAATAGAAATATCATTGTTGCTTCTTCTACTTAAAAATCCCACAGTGGGACTGTCTTATCAGAAGCAGGAAGCTCAAGCATACTCCTTGGAGATATAGGAATCTTCTAACCAGCCACTCACCACTGCCTCCAGCTCATCTCCCACTGCTTTCTACACAACCTAAACTTTCAGTTCTCTAAAATGGGTCTCTTTACAGGTTTAAACTTAACACTTGAGAAACACCTCTCAGTTCCCAACCAGACTGCTCTTGCTCCATCTTCACAGACACTCAACTCCTCTCCTTCTTCCTTCCATCCTTACTATTCATCCTGGAGGTCAGCCGGATTATTAGTTAGTCTGGGACACTTCAAGTTATAGTACAGCCAATGATATACATATGCCCTAGACAGACGGACAAAGTCTCCCTACTGGTGGCTCAGTGTGTAAGATTCAGAAGTTCTCAGTCCACTTTCCAGGAACTTTCGAATGGATTATATTTCCGTGAGAAAATGAGACAGTAAGCTTTGCTCTCTTGGGCACCTCCACGACATGAATAAACAAATCCAGGAATCAAAACAATGCTTCTAAGGGGTGCTTACTTGTTTCATGGAAATTAGTCAGACTCGGTTACCTGTCTCCTGTATTTTAGCATTCTGGAGCTGGCCCTGGTGTATTCTATGAAGTTCTTCGATCTTTTTCTGTTGAGCGGAGACAAGCTCGTCCTTAAGGCTGCACAGAGCTTGCTCCCTTTCCTTTTCCATGTACGCACGGACCTGATCCGCATGAGTGGAATAAACCACAAAGAGGCAGATGCGCTGGGCTTCCATCTGCAGCCTTAAATCATCCTTCAAGTGAACAGATACAAACATGAGAAAGAATCAGTCTAACAGCTTAGCTTCTATATTCTTTACATGTACTGGACCTCAAAGGAGAACACATGTCATAGTGGTAAAACGCATGTGAAGGGGCTGGCCTGCTTTATAGTCTACATCCAGACGCACCGACCTACTGTCTTTCTCAAGAAAGACTGTGCTATGTTTTTATTTATTAACTCGGTGTAATCGTAAATTGGGATACTTGGTATAACTAGCAAGATTTTAATCTTGTAAATAATATTTTACATGCTACAGAATGCAAATAATATAAATAAAATCCAATGTACTCAAAACTCAAATTAATAAATCCCAATGTTATCATTTTTTTTCTGCTATATCATCTACAGCTCCTTAGAGTTAGAGAAAAAACATTAGAGACAAAATTTAATTCATGATGTCCGATTATTCCTTGTCCACAAGCAACTGTTACCAAAAATCTGGAATGTGTCTACTATCGTTTACCAGGGTACATGTAAACAACACATTATATTGTATATTCTTATGTATTGACATAAAGGCATTCATTTTACAAATTTCTTTGCATTTTTAATATAAAATATCACAATATCAAAAATTGCTTCTGAAATCAATCCATATGTGACAGGTTAATTTATTTTTATTGTAGTGTAGTGTAAATGAACAATCCACAATTGACCCATTTCCTTTGTGAAGACCAAGTGGATTTTCATAAGCTTGGGTCCTTTAAACCATAAGACAATAAATTATTACATATATCCACTTAAGACAACTGAGTAAGTGTTTTGCTAGTGAGCTGTCCAGCATGTATTAGACTCATCTGGAATTCTTGCTGACACACATCCATGGTATCTGTCCTCTGACCCCTGATTCAGGAAGCTTAAGAAACACTAGCTCTGCCTGTTTCCAAGTTCTGCTGCTTTCCAGTGACCACACTCAGTTACCCAGGAATATAACTGCTGCTCACAGTTAGCTTTAGTAGCCAAATAATTTTTTAATATAACTGAACTAAAAGAAAATGTTGATGCTTACATCCTTATATCTTTATCAATAAGTCAGTTATTTTGCCAATATGATGGTGATAAAATGCTATTTTACTCATATGAATTTGTAAGGTTAAAATACTTTTTATGTTCCTTTGTCATTTTGGTTTCTTCTCTGAGACACCTATCTCTTCCTATCTCTTCATACAATAAATCCTTTGTATTTCCTCAGGTATTTATATTACACTTATAGTCCTTTGTAACATACGTGGCAAATATCTGGTCTGAGTAATTAAACATGTTTTAGGAATTGTTCATAAAGGAAATAGATCAAATTTCTAAATGCTTTCCTTTGACCTTGGTCTTTTTAATTAAAGGCTTCCTCTGTCTTAAGATCATAATTCTACTTTGTTTACATCTTTCTGTCTACTATATCTTTAACTAACCCAGAGTTAATGTTTCCTAAAGAGTAAGGCTGGAATTCCCCAACGTAAAAACAATTCTCTTAAGGCATTCATTGAATTTTCTGAGCCTTCTCGCTGTCTTGGCTTGTTGATTCAAGTCTCTTCTCCAATACTATCTCACCAGAATACCCTCCCATGTACTCTGTACAAGACAGAGCCAGAGACGGAGAGACAGAGACAGAGAGAGACTGACCGACCTACCTTTGGGATATCCCTTTACATTAAAGTATATAAAAAGCAGCCCGAGACAATGTGTACTAGGTCTTTAATGTCTTGTGTAAGTTTCAGTCATCTTATCTATAATTTAACGTTTTATCTTACTTGTTCATAGTCTTTTTCATTTCTTATTTGTATATATTGACTGGCTAGGAACTCTAAAAGCTCTCTTGGAAAGAGTAACAGTGACAGTGACTGCCCTAATTCCTGCCTTGCCTTCACTGGGAAGACTTTAATCATCACCTCAGAAACCCTTAGCAACTGTTACTTCTATACCTTATTTCCTAAAGTTCTCTCTCTCTCTCTCTCTCTCTCTCTCTCTCTCTCTCTCTCTCTCTTCCTTTCTGTCTGCTGTTGTTATTGTTGTTGTTAAAAACTGTAAACGAACTTGTAACTTTTGGAGAGTCTTTTCCAACAATATTTAAAATGACCAGGATGTGGAGATTAAGTAAACAGAATTATCAGATGCTGAATAATTCTTCCATTCTTGACGATAATCTCATAATCATTTAATAAGAATTCATGCAGGCTCATTCATAAATGAATTACTCTGTAATTTCTTTTCTTGAGCCATTCCTGCCAGATCTTTATCTCAATACTAAGCAGACTCAAGGGGTCAACTCCTTCCTTCCTCGTCTCACCTTAGTAATGCCCTGTACTCTCCCAAACTTGAGAGCCACCTGTACAGTGGTCATGGTAGAGCATTTTTACTTGGGAGAGTTGAGAAGGAAAGCTGATCACAGTTCTAGATTTGGTAATGTTATTAGCTTACTAAAGCGTTGTATTTCTGTGTTAATCAGTTTGAGTAATTTACATGCTTTCATCAGTAGAGTTTATTTATAGCACTCTTTATTTTTAAAATCCCTGTAGCATTTGTACTGGAGATTTTACTTCCATCCTTTGTTTTGTCTGTGCTTTGTCTCTTGATGATATCCTTGAATCTAACAACTCCAACCTACAGACCTTTTCAACTAATGAACCATCAAACATCTTCAAAACCTTCCCTTTTGGTTATTTCAAATTCACTTATTTCTGCTCTAAATTTGCTAGTTTCTTCTACCTACTTTAAGTGTAGATACTTAGATGCTATTTTATGTTTCCGACTAGCCTAGTAAGTTTTCACTGTGAACTGGATTGGAGATACATAAAACAAACTAATATTTCACACTAAATATTTTCCCTCAGAAATTAAGATTATTGTTTATCCAGGTCTCGTCCTTCATTCACATATAGCACGGCGGCCACTGCTTGTTTATATTTTAGAATGAGGTCTGGCTGCATGGCTAAGTCTGCTCTTGAATTCACACACACACACACACACACACTCACACACACCCAGCTGTGGGCGCTGGGATAGGCATAGGCACCACACCCAGGCATATGACACATTTTTGCATTAAATTTTGTTTTACATTGTTTTACTTTAAATTTTTTAATTCTTTTCCTTACTTTATTAAATTACACCTGTGAATTATGACAGTCATCTTTCTCTCCACTTATGCCATGTATTTCTTTGTATTTACAACGGTTAGGACTTTTAGAAAATACTGTACAGCAAATGATAAAGTCTCTTGTTCCTCTGAGGAGTTCTACTTTGTTTCACTATTGACACTTGAAGAACAGGCTTTATTCTCCTTCTTAAAAATTACAATCTTGTATCAAATTTACTCTAGGTTCCTGCGGTCTCCCACACAGGGCCCCGGTCTCCCACACAGGGCCCCGAGGAGCAGCGATCTGTCAGTTCCTCCTGTGCTCACTATGCTCCATATCTCTTCCAGTTCAAACACGCTTCACTCTACGGTCTCTCAGCACGAGAAATGATCGATTCCTGCCAGGCCCCTGGCTGCCTTCGCATTCCAACACTGGGGAGACTTTCTGTGAAGCTTCTCTTTCTCACTTTATCCAAGTGTATTAAACTAAAGAAAACTAAAGAAATCACACCTCAAATGTATTTTGTTCCCATTTAAAAGAAAGCCTATAGGGCAGCTAGAGTTGTAGGTCACATCCTCCCGTATTTAAGAAATTAAAATGTTATTTAACACCTTTGGGGTAATTATAACACATACTTTTCAAAACAATTCCACATGCTTAGTCATTAATTAGTAATTTAAATTACTGGATTTTTCAAATAAAACATTTATTTTTATGTATACTGATGTTTTGCCTGAGTGTCTGTGTGAGGATATTAAATCCTCTGGAACTGGAGTTACAGACAGTCGTGAGATGCCGTGTGGGCGCTGGGAATTGAACTGGGGCCCTCTTGAACAGCAACCAATGCTCTTAACCACTAAGCCATCTCTCCAGCCTGAATTTCTTGATTCTATTCAAACTATTATAAAAGTAAATTATCACCATATTTGATATAAGATCATCAATGGGATTAAAAGTCATCAGAAATGAAAACAGACTTCCCGCAGCTTCCTACGTAGACTGAAATCTGAGCTCCCTATATCTTCCATCCTTTTTCGGCTCTGCTTTATCCTTTGGCCTCCTTTCAGAGCCGACCACACAGGCTGGACCCTAGCCCTAGCTCATCCGCACCTTTACAACTGCTACAACTTCCCCGTTATACAGAGCTCAGTCCACAGGCTAACTCCTCCAGAAGACCTGTCCTGATCGCTGTACTCTCCTGCCTAATACTGTACTTCCTCACGGACCTAACACTGTTCCTAACTACCCTTTGTGCTTCCCATTTGTGACCTGCTTTCCCCTCCAGAACGTGCTTCTTGAGACTAGTACTCATCTCTTGTTCACTACTGTATGCATATTTAGAATAATTCAATAAACATGTATTCCACTAATAGAAAAACACATAAAACTTTAGATATATACTGTAGATATATCTAACTTTAGTTAGATTATACTGTAGATAACCTACCAGAACTGTCCTGGTTTTCCTAGCATCAGTATTTACCAAATGTAAGTTATTAGGAATGACTCATTATTAGTCACAGCCTTTGTTAGTGTTACTTGACAACAGTCTAGAGTCAACAGAGAAAAGATGAGAAGGTCTCAATTCTAATATTGCTCCGATTAGACTGGCCTATCTGTGGTGATCACCTTGTTGACTGATGTAGGAGCCCACTGTGGACAGCACCATTATGTGGGCAGGAAGTCCCAAGCTATACAAGAAAGGCAGGCAAGCAGGAGCCAGTGAGTAAGCCAGCAAGTGCCACGCCTCTATGGTTTTCTGACTGAGTTTGCATCCTCACTTCTGGACTGTGACCAGGAAGTGTAAGCCAACCACAACCATTCTCCTCTCCTGAGCTGCTTTGCTCAGCTTTACCACAGCACCAGAATGAAACTAGAACATTTATTATATGTATCTTTAAGATTGTGACTTACATTGGGAGTATTCATTCAGGTATAAGACTCAAAAACTCTAGGCCTTAAACCTCACCTCTTAGAAATATAATTTCATACCAACTGAGTAACTCACAGAGCAGTAGAAAACTTAGGAGTTTTGTTTTGTTTTATTTTACAATTCTGGGATTCTAACTGAAAACTTGAAATTTCATACTAGAAAACACCAGTATGAAATACTCTAGGAGGCAGAGGCAGGCGGATTTCTGAGTTCGAGGCCAGCCTGGTCTACAGAGTGAGTTCCAGGACAGCCAGGGCTATACAGAGAAACCCTGTCTCGGAAAAAAAAAAACAAAAAAACAAAAACAAAAACAAAAACAAAAAAAAAAAAAGAAAAAGAAATACTCTAAAAAACAATAGGTACTAAAGCCAAGTGATTAGAATGTAAAAATGAGACCAAGTAACTCAAGTAACTCTCAACAGTAACTCTATTCTTTAAAAAGAAAACAAAATGTAGAAAGGATTAGCCTGACTTATTTTCTGAGCAGCATATATAAGAGATTAATTGAAAGACAGGCAACAATAAAACTGACAACTGCCTGGCAGGAACGGAGAGTCACATGACAGGGTTCACCTTCCCTCCCTGTGAGGACCTGGACTTCTGTTTCCTAGAAGTGAGAGCTGCTCTAATGTGGCTCTGTTTCCCCTGTGACTTTCTGAGAGCACATGGACATACCTGCTCGGCTCTGAGGGCATGAAGCTCTTGCTGGAGTTTCTCACTTTCACATGGTTCAGCTGCTGCACTCGATGGTTTTTTTGTTCTTGTTGACAAAAGCAACTGCTCTCTCCCACTTTCTTTAAAGGGAATTTTACCTTCTGTCATTGGATTTGATTCTTCTGCCAACGCTTCACTGATTTTAGAAACAGATCCCTGAGACTCAGTGACCATCCCCATTACAAGCCCAGGTTGGTAAGAACGCCTCTGTGCAGGGCAGACAGCTGCATTTTCTGGTCCATCAGGGTTAGTGAGAAGCTCCAGATCTCCACATTTCAGTAAAAGCTGTTCCTTCTCTTGCTTTAAGGCTCTAACCTCCGCATTCAGAGAATCAATTGTACCATGTGTCTGCTTTAGTTGTTCAGAAAGACCAGAGACTTTCTCTGAGAGCTCCAACTTTTCTCTCTTGGTTATTTCCAGCTTCTCCATAAGCTCTGTTGTATCTTTTTCTACAACTTCGCAGACTTCCAGAGGTTCAGATGGGAAAGCTCTGTCGGTAGAAAATCCAGAAATCCTCCCCTCTGGCACGGCTGGACTTCCTCTGGGCAGGCGGAGCTCTTCCTCCAACGCTCTCAGCTTACTTTCATACTCCAAGGCCTGCTTGGTCTGTGTGTCTTCTAAGTCGTCTCTTATCTTGAGAAGACAAGAATACTCCCTCTGTAACTCCTGATAGTTAACTTCAAAGTTCTTTTCAGCAAACGCAAATGTGTTCTTTTGCTTCTCCATCTCCTCATTTAGATGAAGGCACTGTTGTTTAAGGTCCTCGTTCTCCTTCCTGAGCATCTCTGCTTCTTTCTGCCACCTCGCGTCTTCCTCCGACTTGCATGAGCTAGGGTCTACGGCAATTAATCTTCCCTCTTGGTCTGACGGGGTGTACATTTTCAACATGTCTTCCAGGACTTTCTTCTCATCTTTTAGGAGGCTGTTCTCTGCATCCAGCTGCGCACATTTTTCTTGAAGGTCATCTTCCTTCTCCTTCAGTTGTTTCTCTAGTCGCTCAGTTTTAAGTTGTAACTCCTGAACTTCCTGTTCAAGGGTACCTTTTTCCTTTTCTTCTCGTCTGAGGATTTCGATCTCTTTTTGCAGCTCATTGATCTGAAGATTCATTTCTTCTGACTTTGAATTAACAAGGGATTCTTGCAAATCTCTTAGCTTTGAATTCTCCAGAATTAACTGATTCTGCTGCGTGATGAGGTTGTCTGTCTCCACCTGCATACTCTCCACCTTCCTGTTCAGTTCATTTTGTAAGCCGTCTATCTGCTGCTTGTAGTGAATGCCCAAATTATCTTTAAGTTTTTCAATATTTATTCGATGCTCAACTTCTAGATCTTCTTTTAGTTTAGACAGTTCTTCTTCGTGACTGAAGAGGAGCTGTGTCCTCAACCTCTCTAGTTCGGCCTCTTGGGATTCCGCCATTCTGTCTAGCACAGCATTTTTTTCTTTTTCTAGCATTTCAAGTTTTATTTTGTAGTTTGTAACCTCAGCTTCGTGCTTGACTTCGAGTTCCTTTCTAGATTCGGAGGCAGCAACGATCTCAGCTTTTAAGTCTTCCACAGTGCTCAGGGACTTGCGTGCAGCGCTCAGTCTGTTTTCTTGCTCCGCTATTGTCTGTCTAGCTTTCTGAACTTGCTCTCTTAAAAACCTTACCTCTTCTAAGAGGTCTTTAGACTGACTCTGCAGAGCGGAGTTTTCTCCCAGAACTACTCCAAGCTCTCCCTTGAGTTTCTCCTTTTGAGCATGAGTATCCTGTAATCTTACATTGAGTTCATTGATGGCCGCATTCATTACATTCACTTGTTCCTTACTGACCGTAGTGTTTGCATCTGACTTGACGGTGCTCTCAATCTCTCTCTTATGTTGGGATTTGAGCTCCTCTATCTGAGACATGTGCTGTTTTATTAGCTCTTGTTTCATTTGCACTATTTGCTTCCCATACATCTCATCCAGCTCTGCTTGGAGGTGGCTTAATTTCCGTTGTGTTTCCTGTTCCATCCTTTGCACGGTGCCGGTTTCCAGCTGGCTATCTTTAAGGTTTCTCTTCTGGAGTTCTTCAACTGTCCTCATTAGCTCTTTGATTTCCTCCGAACACTTTCGCTCGTTTTGCTGAGAGTTGACCAGTTCTAGCTTCAGGCTTTTGATCTCCTGATCCTTCTCTGTAACCTGTCCTTGTAACTGTCCTAGTAATTCATCAGCAGTTGTTACTTTATTCTTTAACTCGGCGGTTTTCTTCTCTTCTTCTAGTACTCTTGTGTTCAACTCATCAATGATTGCCTGCTTTTCCTGTATTTCTTTTGTATTTAAGTTTTCTACTTTTCTGTCTTTTTCCTTCAGAGGGGAAAAAAAAAGAAAGAAAGCATAAGACCTTCTGGTACCTCGTCACGCTTTTACATCACTCCAAAAAAGGACTGCGGTGTCCACCCCTCAGGATATGACTTGTGCATGTAGATACTGATGACAAATACAACAGCTCTGACCTTCCTAGGAAAGCTGATGTTCCTAGCAGATATGAGTACTAGGTTCTCACAGCACAGCCAAAACAGAATGAAAAAAAGAAAACTCCTGCTAGGCTGACAAGATGGCTCTGATGACCTAAGGTAAACCTCCAGACAAATACATAATAATTCTAATAAATTTTAAAACTTATTAAATCTTTGCTAAGCCATTATATGTTCACTTTTTATTAATTAACTGCTTACTATCCCAATAATTTAATATTTTGATAGCTAATTATAATACTGTGTACTTTCTCAATACCCTCAGAAAAAAAAATTTTAAATGAGTTCCGGTTACTCCCATTAACTGTAGTGATCTGAAGGTGTTCCAATGACAAGGGCTATGCAATAAGAGAAAGCAATCGCCTGTGAGTCCGCTGCTGTGACTCTGCTCCTGTGAGTCTGCCTTAATTTCAATGTTGAGCACTTCTGTGACATCGACATCAACTATACTTTATGCATCTAAGCAAAACTGCAATTTCAGTTCAAACAGAAACTTGAAAACGGAAAAGAAACTTTTCCCCAGTTGCCATTTGGGGTCAGTTATGTAACTGGCTAACAGCTAAGCCCAGACGGACACAACAAGCATAGTGATTATTACAATCACATCAAAGCAACAAGTTGAGCAGAAGCCTAGGCAGAGTTTTGGATCTGTTACTTACTTATCTCTGTGAGGAAAGGCTTCAGACCCAAATACTAAGCATGAAATAAAATCTACAGAACTAGTCAGAGCTATTATAAGCAGGTGAGTTATATTGTCCTTGGCAAATATAACTCAAAGGCATTCTCAATGAATTTTTTGGCTTCCAAAGCCAAAAAATGACAAAACCCAGACAGAGGAAAGCTATCTGACAAAGTGCTGGAGTGCTCCTCTCAGTACAGTTCAAAGAGAAGACCAAGGCCTTTGAGAACAATGCCCCTCTGGAAAAACCATACCCTGAGCCCATTGTGTGTGTGTGTGTGTGTGTGTGTGTGTGTGTGTGTGTACGCATTCACAGTACTCCAAAGACAGAAGGATCACCCAACCAAATTCAATATAAATACTCAATTGAAAAAAAAAAAAAAACAGTGTTGGAAGCATGTGGTACATAGGACTAAAGAATTGCAGCCCACAGGGATAAACGCAGCCCACAGGGATAAACTTCACTGTGCTCAATGAGATGCATACACCAGGCATCTCAGTCTAACACCGTATCATCTGAGTGCCTAACATCCTTCCATCTGCTGACTAATAAACCCTCCAACTACTGTTTGTCTTTTTAAGTTCAATTGTCCATGGAAAGAAAATAAAATCCAATGGACCTGAACTATATATAGTTCCCCATGATTATTACTTATCATTACAAATTAATAATCTTAGATTTGAATTTTTAAGCAGCCTCTTGAACTTGGAACAATCTGAGTTTACAGCTATACTAGCTTAGGACTCAGATGATACAAAAAATACGTTTTCTGAGCCTACAAATCAAAACAGATTGTGCTTTTAATTTGTTATGTTATTGTGTGACATATTTGTCACATATAAAAACAGGCAATGTGGTACAAGGCACATATAAAGACAGGCAGTTGTGGTACCCTGCCTTCAGGCCACATGGACAGTTTGAATCCAAATTCTGGTATGAGTATAAAGGCCAGCAACAAACCACTTTTGAATTTTCATTTCTCATTTGAAAAATCAATAAAAGCAAACCTTTCAGGATGGGCTGTCCTTAGAATTGAAGATTATAAACTATGTGATAATATTGCCATCCCTTGCCACAAACAGCACTGATTTCCTAAGTATGTGTCCAAGAAATAGAACATAATTTATATAACCAGTTGCATTTAGTTTTCCTAACTAAACCTACAAAATTTTATCTTGTTACAAAAATATTTTCAGAATTTTAGGATCATAGCAAAACCGGGAATACTTAAGATGGAAAAAGAAAGATATCTGAGTTATAAACTTAGCCTCTCCTGGGAATCCAGTTAACATATGCAGTTCACCTTAAGGAGCACAATAGTGGGCCATATTTTCTTAACAACTTAATCAGTGTGAGATTCCCAACTGCTTTTGAAATAAATTATTTTATATATTCAAAGAGTTTGCCTTAATTATAAAATTTTATAATTCAGATGCATAAAAGAAAGAGAAATATGACTAAGAAAAGTGAATTACAAAGTTACTACACATAAGCTGACTTTCTTACCATTTCAAACACTCTAATTTTCTCTTGTAAAACAGAAATCTGCGCTTGCAAGTCCTCCTCCTTTTTCTCATAGTCTTGCAGCTGTTGCTGTTGAGTAAAGATTTGTCGTTTGGCCTGCAGTAAATCTGTGGCAGTCCGACTAAGAGTGCTGTTTTGCAGAGTTTCATTAGCCTGTAACTTGAAAACAGAAAGAACCTTCAACACACTAAATTCTGAAGTGACTATTCACAAACAGACTTCTGGAGTATTCTTTGCTGACCTCTGTTCAATTCAGGGGCTTGAGATCTTAGCAAACATGCTGTTATGCCTGGACTGACTGAGCCGATAAATTATCCTTATGATAATTCAGAAAAAGCAGATCAAGTGAGAGACAGGACTGAGGACAAACACCAGGAGAAGTGGGACAGAAACACACTTCTGGATTCCGGTCACTTTTCAGACTCTAGCTCCAATCCCTTTCAGAGGCCTGACTATATGGCTACCCCTAAACTCTGTCACACTTCTGTCTACTTACATTAAATTCTTTGGCTTAAGATATTTCAACTTGTTTTGTATTACTTCCTGTCATACTCTGATCAATGCAATGAGATTCTTAGTTGATCTTACTAGATCTAAATGATGAAACACTGCTGCCAAAACAAGTTGGGGAGGAAAGGGTTTATTTGCCTTACACTTCCACATCATAGTTCATCATCAAAGGAAGTCAGGACAGGAACTCAAGCAGGGCAGGAACCTGGAGACAGGAGCTGATACAGAGGCCATAGAGAAGTGCTGCCTGGGGCTTGCTCCTCATGGCTTGCTCAGTGTGCTGTCTTATAGAACCAGGATCACCTCCCCACGGATGGCACTACCCACTACAAGCTGGAACCTCCCCCACTGATCACTAATTGAGAAAATCCTTTCAGTCCAATCTTATGAAGGCATTTTCTCAGTTGAAGTTCCCTCCTTTCTGATAACTCTAGATTGGGTCAAGCTGACATCAAAGTAGCCAGGATGTATTCCCAACGTGGTAAATGTGGTGAATGGAAGGTGTAGGTCCAGCTACCATTCAGAACCTAACTGAAACCATGCCAGGACTGCAAATGTGCAGTGCAACTCCAGTCCGTCTTGAAAAGATTTTGTAGAACAGCAGGAAACAACTCACAAGATATGAATCAAAACTCTTGGTTAATATAACAACCTGAATTTACCACTTTTTTTTTCTTTGTCAGCACACTAAAAGAAGCTAACAGCTTCTGAGTAAGCTTTGCTTTGTTCTGGAAAGTGAACACGTGAACGAGTATATAATTCACTATAAGCACCTTAACTTGACTGTACCAGTGATACTCACGTGCTGGAATTGAATCTGCAGCTTTTGACTCTGTTCTGTCAACTCTAAAAACTCTATCATTGTGTCATCCTTTTCTTTTCTTGCTTGCTGCAAGTTAGCAGTGAGCTGAGTTATGATGCCATCTCTCTGCTTAATGGCAGCTTCAAACTCTTGTAACTAAGAGAAACCAATGAAAACTGAATTAGCTTTTTGCCTTTTTCTTTTCAAAATTAACAATATCTCATAAAAGCTACTGCCTGTCTAAATTAGTCTTATTTCAAAATTGACTTTGAAAATATGTAGGCATTAAAGAAGAGAATACATTTGGTTTGTCTTTTCCATATTTTATTGTAGAAGTGTCTTTACACTTTGGAATGCCCCAATGTATTCCTAGGTAACACCAACAGAAACCTTTAAGGCCAGCTTGTTTCTGAAGAAGATGGAAGTATATGATCTCACTTCATCTTGATTTTACCTTTACTTCCCTGCACAGCACATGTGACTTACAATGACATTCTTAATGAGCTTAAGTCACCCTTTTTTGTGGTTTATTTTGTTCTCAAGCAGATGACAGGGGAAAAAAATCTATCTTAAGGGAATGATTTCACTCTAGTGACTTTACACGGTTAAATTTTAAAAGTCCACATATTTCAGCTGTGTTTCTGCAATCCTCATTTTAAATAAGTGTTACTTATGCTATCTGTATACAAAAACAAAAGTTATGAAGTGACCTAGGTCACCATTCCAGAGCCCCGTGTTTAAGGAGCACACGGACACGCCCATCCCTGCCTCCTACTTGAGTCTGTTACAAACCAAAGCCACGGTGAGCGCACCTGCTTCAGCCCTTCGGTCCCAAAGCTGGTCCTCATCGCTTCCAACTCCGGAGTCAGTTCTTCAGTATCATGCTGCTTCTCAGCCAGCTCACTTTCCACCATCTGAAGACAGGTCTGACTGGACTGAGCGCCTTCTTCAGAGTAAGAATCATCAATTGAAAATTCTTCTTCCTAAATGAACCCGAGATTTTTAATAATTAAGTACTAGGGACACTCTTGAAGGGCAGGTTCCACAGCAAAGTCCACTGTAGAACATTCCTACCTCCTGCGAGTTCATTAGAAAGCTGCTTCGTTATTAATGAGGTAAACACCTTAACAACAGAAACAGGATTTCTGCACTTTGTTACAACTGTCACAGGAAAAGGGGTGAGTGGTTTTGTACACTGTGAGTGGCACACAGGAAGAAGTGCATGCAGAGAACACTGTTAGTAAGCTGGGAGCCTTTACACAGTGTAACACGTTAGTACCATCAACAGTTTAAATACTGTACCCTGAAGGTATCTGTAGGCTTCCCTGGTTTCGTCACAGAATTGCAGCCATTAATCTGTATAAAAACAATTTCTTGACATATTATGATCTTAAACTCAATGTAATTCATACCTGATAACAGCATTTTTGTGTTCTGTGGGATGTGTGTAGGATGGGCGGGCGGAATGTATATGGCTGTTGTTTGAGACAAGGTTTCTCACTGAGCATGAGGACCACAGGTTAACCTACACTAACTGGCCAGCCAGCGCTGGCCCTCCTGCCCCTCCCCCCAGTGCAGGACTGCAGGTACACATTATGAGGGTGGCAGGGATCCAAGCTCACGCTTGTGTGGCAAACACTTTACTGAACCACCCCCTACTCCAGTCATTTTAGAACTAAAAACTAAAAAGGCCTTACTGGCAAAATCATATTTGGTAATAAGCTTAAGTTGATTTCAAGCACCTAAAAGACACATAACAACTTCAAATGTATTCATTCCTCAAGCACATGAGTGCTTACAGTGCCCCTTCTTTTTCTCCCAATCACTACTGACTTCCCTCACACTGCTTCTCCACATGAAGGGTAACTGGGTATGGACTATACTGCCTTTGAGTATGTGTGTAGTCAGAGATCAATGTTAGGCGTCTTTCTCAAGCATGCTCCATCTTTTTTTTTTTTTTTTTTTTTTTTTGAGATAAAGAGTCTCACTAAACCTTAAATTCACTGACTCAGCTAGCCTGGCTGGCTCCAGAGCCCAGGAATCCTCCTGTCTTGGTCTCCCCAGTGCTATGATTACACAAACTAACAACCAGACCTGGAAGCAGACTCAGGAACGTATGCTTGTGCAGCAAGTCTTACAGACTGAGCATCTCCCCAGCCCAGACAAAGGAGTTTCCATCACTTTTTTTATCCAGTACTCTCTAAGATCAGAGGATGCTTTGACAGCCCAGCCAACAGGCTACTGAAGTTGACAAGCGTAGTGAAGCAGCCCCCCCAGTTGAAGGCTCTCAAGTTCACTGTTCTTCATCACCATGTTTTATGATCACCATTGCTTTGTCTGCCACCAGACGAGCACGCTAAAAGCCAAAACCCAAGTGTTGACTCTTAGGGATGTTTGCACCAGCCTAGAGTTTCCATGAATGCTTTGCCATCATACTTGGCAGTGGTTCCCAAATTGTTTAGGATATCAATCTTAGCCATGTCACTGCCTGTCTCCACCAAAGCCATAAAGGAAAAGCTTTCCAGTATAGGATAACAAATCCTGAGCAAGGCATCAGAAGCACTGGAGAGCAACTAGAGAAGGAAAGTTCCCCGTTGATGCTCAAACGCAGAAATTGTCATTACACAAAGGTCTCCATCTCCTTCTGTGGAGCACTCGCTTGCTCGGGAACACCAAAAGGGCTGCACGTACAGACAGCAGGATTGGCCTTGCTTTACTAGGGTGCAGAACCTCCTTTATCCTCCCTGACAACTTTGGTGTAAAGTGCCCTTCATACGCTATGTATACACCTGGGTTGTGTTTTAAGCTTCCTCTTGCCTGACATAGACTCTGACACGTTTGTTTTCAGTCTACTGTGTCTCTGCCAGTGAGATGTATTTCTCACAGACAGCAAATAATTGTATCTTGTTTATTTTTACAGCCATGCCATTGTGTCTTTTAATTGGAAAATTGACACTACACTTCGTGCTATTATTGCTGTTTCTTGTAACTCTGATGACTGTTTTCTGGTTATTTCAAGTTTTCTTTGGTTTTGGTTTTGCACTGACACACATTAGAGGTTCACTGATTTACAGAGTGAGACATAATCGGCTTTCACCTATTTTTCCTCAGTTCATCTGCTCTTCCTGTGCTGACTCTCGCCTGTGCTTCTGCGAGGTTCTCTTTCATCATCCACACATAAGATTTTACATCACTGGCTCGGCTGACACGATGGCTTTAGTTTGTACTTATCTTAATAAGTTTCAATTTCTCCTACTCTAAAAGACAACTTTTCTGGTATAGTATTTTTGAATGGTAGTTTTTGAAATTTGTGATTTTAAATCCATACTTACTACAGAGGAAACTTTACATAGCAGTATTCAGATACCCACTTATTTATTTATTGCTGGTTATTTTCCTGATCAATCTACAAATAAGAATATTCTTAGCTCTAAAATACATTACACTTGTTAAGTGCTACCCATATCACTATTATTATAAAGTTGTGCTATGTTAGCATAAGCATAAATGGTTCTCTTTACTATTAGCAATCTCAACACATTGAATCTTATGAAATATATTAATTTGCTGACACATTTACAGTAAGAAACTGGTTCTCATGTTCTCTAACTCTAACCAAAGAAACAGTGATGGTATTTAAAAGACTAAAACAAAAGGATACACACTTACCAAAGCACATAAGTACACACTTACCACAACCACATAAGTGCACACCACAAGCACGTAAGTGATGCCCACTTACCACAAGCACATTAGTGATGCCCACTTACCACAAGCACATAAGTGATGCACACTTACCACAAGCACATTAGTGATGCCCACTTACCACAAGCACATTAGTGATGCCCACTTACCACAAGCACGTAAGTGATGCACACTTACCACAAGCACATTAGTGATGCACACTTACCACAAGCTCGTAAGTGATGCACACTTACCACAAGCACATTAGTGATGCACACTTACCACAAGCACATTGGTGATGCACACTTATCACAAGCACATTGGTGATGCACACTTACCACAAGCACATTGGTGATGCACACTTATCACAAGCACATTGGTGATGCACACTTATCACAAGCACATTAGTGATGCACACTTACCACAAGCACATTAGTGATGCACACTTACCACAAGCACATTAGTGATGCACACTTACCACAAGCACGTAAGTGATGCACACTTACCACAAGCACATTAGTGATGCACACTTACCACAAGCTCGTAAGTGATGCCCACTTACCACAAGCACATTAGTGATGCACACTTACCACAAGTACGTAAGTGATGCACACTTACCACAAGCACATTAGTGATGCACACTT